TAATTTTTTTTTAGGGTTGGCTAGATCTCCAACATTTTTGTTTATCTTTCAAGATCTGTTAGTCTTCCTCTCTTTACACCATCTTATGGTGCAATCATCTGCGACGCACATATTAAGCAAGACATGGACAAGATGGAGCGAATTCAACGTAATGTGGTGCGTTTCATCGCACGAGACTACAAATCCACCACTCCTGGCTTCGTCACTAGCCTCTTAAAAAGAATGGACATCCCTCCCCCCCCCCCCACCTTTTTAAAGACAGACGAGAGAACAAATCCACCACTCCTGGCTTCCGCACTTGCCTCTTAAAAAGAATGGACAAGCCCCCCCCCCCCCCACCTTTTTAAAGACAGACGAGAGAGACTCCGCCTGATATTCTTATATAAAGTGGTCATGGGACTGATGCCGGCCATCCCAGCAGGCATTGTCAGATCTAAACAACTAGACTTTGGCAGTTTTAAAAAAGTAGACCATAATAGTTTTAAACATTTAGACTATGATAGTTTTAAACAATTAGACTATGACAGGTTTAAAAAATTTAGACTATAATTATTTTAAACAATTAGACTGACAGTTTAAAGCAAGTAGACTATGACATGTCTTAGACAATAAGAGTCAAAGCTCTAAACAAATAAACAGACAGTTTAAAGCAAGTAGACTATGACATGTCTTAGACAATAAGAGTCAAAGCTCTAAACAAATAAACAGACAGTTTAAAGCAAGTCGACTACTACAGTTTGAAACAATTAGACTAAGACAGGTTTTAAACAAGTAGACTGTGACAGATTTTAAATAATTAGATTGTGACAGATTTATTTACAAGTATACCATGACAGTTTACAAAATAGACTACGAAAGATCCTCTGACTTCCCGCTAGGCAAATACCATAAATAAATTCGCATGCACCACTTTTCTTTTGGTGTGCTCACATAAAGACATCTCTTTTGCATTTGATTTCAATAACTATCTTTTTTTTTTTTTTACCTTTTCATTTCTTCATTGTGCTGACGTCATCAGTTTGGTTGAATGCCAGTAAAGCAATGATGGGGTTGTCCCTCGTGGGAGAGTTACTTACCATCCATATGACATCACTTGTTATCTTCCTAACGCTGAACAAACTCGTAGGACAGGGCACTTTGGTGGTTACCGGTATATCAGGTATGTTCCTGCCATGTGACGCTGATGTGACTTTGCCTACTTTTGCATGTGGACTTTTTAAAAAAAAACACACAATTTAAATAGTAGTTTATACAAAAACATCAATTCATCAAATTACTCCTGAAAACTTCCAATGAAACAAATTCCTTGTTTAAGTTCAAAAAAAAAAAACAGTTTATTTCTTTGTAAAACAGTTAGACAATCAGGCATGTTCATAACGTACAATGATGATTGAGAGAAGTAACGAGACTGGAAGGAGAAGCTACTAAAACAAATAATGCTATTAATAAAGACGTAGCTTCTTACACACACTCTCTGATACTAAGCATTAATCAACGAGTTAACAAAGTAAAATAATTAAATCACACGATAGATGGATAAATTAAATTCAAATTAAATGGGTGATGTACTTATAGAAAAAAAAAAAAAAACCATTTTGCATTTTTGTAAATAAATCAAGTGACATTCTGATTAATTGTAGCAATTCAATGTGTATTTTTTGGTTAAATTTTATAGAAAAAAAAGTAAAATAATTAAATCACACAATAGAGGGATAAATTAAATTCAAATTAAATGGGTTATGTACTTAAAAAAAAAAAAAAAAAAACCATTTTGCATTTTTGTAAATAAATCAAGTGACATTCTGATTAATTGTAGCAATTCAATGTGTATTTTTTGGTTAAATTTTATAGAGCTTGAAGAGTCGAAATAATTCAATCAAATTTTTTCTAAGCAACAATAACTAAATTTCTTAAAATTGTTTAATCAAAGGTGACTACTCAATGTATGACAGTGTTTTACTGTCGAGGGATGCACAGGGTTTCATTTTCCTTCCAAGCGAATACGTTGCATTGCAATAGAATATGAAAACAATAAATGTTAAGATAAAAGGTACACGACCATTCCCTCCGCCATTTTCCTTTGTTCTCCAAGATTTTCTCCTATTGAACGAATTAGACGTTTAGATGAATACACAGACTCGACATTACCAGAGAACTTGAAAAATGAAATGTATCCATTTCAAAGATTTTTTTTTTAAATCTACATTCTAGAATAACTTTGGAAGCAAGTGAAATATTTATCCACATTTTGTTTTTAGGCATATCCCGAACTATTTCATTTAGTTTAACAGCCTCACGTACATTGATGCTTTCGTTTTGGAATTCATTCCAGTGCTGTTTGGCGTCATAGGAGCTGCTGTCGCCGGTGGTGAGAGTAAACGTGTCTTCAACGACTTGCACGGCACTAGCATCGTCACGTCTGCCTGGTCATTTACCTTGTTCATGATTGTCCAACTGCTCTATTTTGTAGCTGGAGGTCTTTATTTCTTAGACCTGAGATCGAAGTCATAAAAGAAACCGATTGCATTTCATATTTAGACATTTACGATACATGAAATGGAAAGGGACAGAATCTGATATTCTTCCGGTGACAATGTGCTTAATAAAAGAAGCCCAGCGTGACAATGTATTAAATAAGAGATTTTGCAGACTTTTGCTGTGCATCTACTTTATAAAGCTCTCAATGTGACAATGTTTGCTTGTAAATAGTTCAACTAATCACAAGATAAACAAAAAATGGATTGCAACCAAATTCTACATGGTTATTCCTCCTGACACACAGCTGGAGCCTAGAAAGTCTGGCTATAGCCTGTTTAAAACAGTTGCAGTTTAAAAATCGTAAAATGTAGAGGATAAAGTTTTAAATGTAGAGGTAAAGAGTAAAATGTAGAGGATAAACAGGAAAATGTGCAGGTTAAAGTTTCAAATGTTTAGGGTAAAGAGTAAAATTTAGAGGGTAAAGAATGAAATGTAGAGGTATAGAGTAAAATGTTGAGTGTTAGGAGTATAATGTAGATAGTAAAGAGTCAAATTTAGAGGGTAGAGAGCAAATGTAGAGGATAGAGGGTAAAATAAATTTAGAGAGTAAAATATAGAGGGTATTGAGTAATGGAGAGGGTTTAGAGTAAAATTTTGAGGGTAGAAAGTAAAAGAGGAGCATCAATTTATGTTATTTTAAGTGTCCGCATCTTAAATACGCCTTCATTCTAAGTTCGCTGAAGAGTTTGCTGTTTAAAAAAAATGTAATAATAGTATATGCTGTCAGAATGTACGGACATAACCAGTGTACCATTGAAAGCAATTACAGTTCATTGCTTGTGGTGTAAAGATGGTCAAACATTAGATTATCCCATAGTTCAGGGGTGTGCCTCGTGGGACCTTTGGCTTACCCCAGGGTTTGCAGTCATCTTGTTTCTTGTATTAATTATATTAAAAACTACATAAAGTAGATATGTCTTAGGAAGGAAGAATCCTTTCCTTTTTTTTTTTTTTTAGATTTATTTAACCGCAAATCTGCATTTAGTAAAACTACGTCAATGAATGTGTGGAAGCATTTTATAGGTGTCACAGTGTTACAAATGCTCAATTTGTTACACGCTGAAAATTTTCAGTCTTTAGTACATTTCCCTTATTTTAAATAAATTATTAAGTGAAGACATTCATTATAAGCTTCCTAAATGCCAATAAATGAAGGAAGGGGTTCAAGCCGTGGGGATGAAATAGAAGAACAAGGTATACGGTAGCTTGAATCAAAAGACAGCACAATAGATGTGACATTTTCGGCGCAGATCCTTCTTTAGCTAACAGGACAAAGAAAAATATGACAAGACCGCACAGCCTGACTACACAGCCGGACGACACAGTTGGTGGTTAAGTAGACTTAAACAAACCAATGGGACGGGTAGTCCTAATCTCAAGCTTAAATAAAATATATGATTACCGGTACCAGACAAAAGGAAAAAATAAAATAAAATAACTTTGACATCACCATATATTTTTTTTTGTTTTCATTTCAAATGAATAGAAAATAAATGTTTCGACTTATTCCATCAACTACCAAAGTTGTTATCGTTCTAAAATAACTAGCACAACATGTTAGGTCTTAATGGATCTTGAATAGCATGGTACGCCGACCATGTACACGATATAAATGTATTTGACGAGAATATTCAGTCGAGGTTCATTGAAGAAAATGTTAACTTGCAGTTGACCGTTAGGTTGTTTGTTTGTTTGTTTGTTTGTTTGTTTGTTTGTTTGTTAGGTTGTTTGTTTGTTTGTTTGTTTGTTTGTTAGGTTGTTTGTTTGTTTGTTTGTTTGCTTGTTTGTTTGTTTGTTGTCATGCATTTCCGAAAACCAACCAACTATCCCATACATTTAATTAGAGCAGAGTTTAAAAAAAAATATATTCCTTTTATTAACGCAGGGGTTCTCAACCTGTGGGTCGCGAACCCCTTTGGGGGTCGAACGACCCTTTCACTGGGGTCGCCTAAGACCATCGGAAAACGCATTTACTCTACTGTTATGAAGTAGCAACAAAAATAATGGTGTGGTTGGGGGGTCGCCACAACATGAGGAAAATGTATTTAAGGGTCGCGGCATTAGGAAGGTTGAGAACCACTGTATCAACGAACGACATAGCAGTTGCCAAAGAAAGCATGGCCCCCTCCCCTCCCACCCACACTTGACACTTTGACTGGCTAAACGGAGATGAGGAGGCGTCCCCTTGGCCCGTCTCGGTCGTACTAGACCAGTGGTTCTCAACCTTCCCGAAATCGCGACCTTTTGGTACAGTTCATCAAACTGGGGTGACCCCCCAGCCATAGAATTATTTTCGTTGCTCCTTCACAAAAAAAAAAAATTGTTTTCCGATGGTCTTAAGCGACCCCTTGTGTAAGGTACGTTTGGGACCCAAAAAGGGGTGGCGACCCCACAGGTTGATAACCGCTGTAATAGACAATGGGGCCACAGCAAACGTGGAATTTCCTGTCTTAATTGAAAGGGCGACGGCTGTAAGTGTTTGAGATAACACAAATGTCTATGACCGGTTGAAAATTCCGCGCCGAAATAAGTGTAGCCTTCAACTTATAAATGTGGTGCTGTTATTGGTTAGCTAACGCCATTGCGGTCATGTAGAATTGTGATCTGTTATAATATATTATACAATTATGTTTAGAATACGTTCGCTTAAGTTCTCTTGATCAGCAAACGGTTTATTCACTTCCCTTGTTGTCGGACAACAATCTGTGCAGGTGGTTTGTCCTCGCGCAACAAGAGAATGGCATTCAGAGATACCACGACTCTATGGAAAATAGCATTTGGTATACAGATCATTGGTGAGTCTATCTTAAACTACCGTATTTATTGGGGTATAATACGCACTTTTTATCCCTGAAAATAGGGGGCAAATGATGTGTGCGTGTTATACGCCGATATAATGTCTAGGGTTTTTTTCCTGAAATGTCCTTCTTAAGTTGAGGTGCGTGTTATACGCCGATATAATGTCTAGGGTTTTTTCCCTGAAATGTCCTTCTTAAGTTGAGGTGCGTGTTATACGCCGATATAATGTCTAGGGTTTTTTCCCTGAAATGTCCTTCTTAAGTTGAGGTGCGTGTTATACGCCGATATAATGTCTAGGTTTTTTTCCCTGAAATGTCCTTCTTAAGTTGAGGTGCGTGTTATACGCCGATATAATGTCTAGGTTTTTTTCCCTGAAATGTCCTTCTTAAGTTGAGGTGCGTGTTATACGCCGATATAATGTCTAGGGTTTTTTCCCTGAAATGTCCTTCTTAAGTTGAGGTGCGTGTTATACACCAATAAATACGGTAATTGTTTTCTCTTTTTTTTTTTTTTTAACCAGTCATTACTCGATATATCTAATTCGCCAGCAACGGTTCAAACACCACCACCACGCAGGCTATATATAGATATGCCAGAGTGTGGTTAAATAATGAGTTCACTAGCGCGCAAAATATCATTCCCGATAACTACGCTAAATGATATATATTTTTTTTAATAACGCAATTGCGTTTGGTGCGTAATATTTTCTTGTCGGATATGAAATCGTTTCAATTAAAGTATTGTGTAAAAAAAATATTCGGTTTAAAAGTGGTTTGGACATGAGAATATTAATATAGTTCATGGGCGTGAAATAAAAAGTGTGCAGTGGCGTATCATGGGAGGAAGAGGTGTAGCAAATGTTGGATTCTTAAATGTGCGTTACTTGAGTTCATGTTTTGTCAAGGAACTTTACTAGATGGTAAGTTCACGCCGCCAATGTTTGGTGGGCTCTATCTAGTATGTTTTAGTTCAGGTGTATAGTTAAATACATATAAGGTTTCTGAAACCTGCACACAGCAAATATGCACACAAAAAAAAAAAAAAAAAAAAAAAAAAAAAAAAAAATAAAAAATTGTTAAATCGCGAGTAGATCTTGTCCTTCCGGTTGTCTTTTCGAAATATATATATATATATTTATTTTTTTTTTTGCTTTCTTTGTCGTGTGCATCAAATGCGCACAAAAGAACAGATTCGTTACCTGAATTGACAACTTACACATCATGCCAAAAAAAAGGCAAACGAAAGTACTGAAGAGAGAGAGAGGGCAGATGAAAGTACTGAAGAGAGAGAGGGCAGATGAAAGTACTGAAGAGAGAGAGGGCAGATGAAAGTACTGAAGAGAGAGAGGGCAGATGAAAGTAGTGAAGAGAGAGAGAGGGGAGATGAAAGTACTGAAGAGAGAGAGGGCAGATGAAAGTACTGAAGAGAGAGAGAGAGGGCAGATGAAAGTACTGAAGAGAGAGAGGGCAGATGAAAGTACTGAAGAGAGAGAGGGCAGATGAAAGTACTGAAGAGAGAGAGGGCAGATGAAAGTACTGAAAAGAGAGAGAGGGCAGATGAAAATACTGAAGAGAGAGAGGGCAAATGAAAGTACTGAAGAGAGAGAGGGCAGATGAAAGTACTGAAGAGAGAGAGAGGGAAGATGAAAGTACTGAAGAGAGAGAGAGGGCAATTGAAAGTACTGAAGAGAGAGGGGGCAGATGAAAGTACTGAAGAGAGAGAGGGCAGATGAAAGTAATGAAGAGAGAGATGGCAGATGAAAGTACTGAAGAGAGAGAGAGGGCAGATGAAAGTACTGAAGAGAGAGAGGGCAGATGAAAGTACTGAAGAGAGAGAGGGCAGATTAAAACGTGATGATGAAATAAAGAGGCGGGTTCGTGCCAATGACACGCCCAAACAAAGGCCCTTAAGATTGCAAGACCAGATTGTAGCACCTCTTCCCGTGTTTCGCGCACCACAGCTTCTCGGTTTAATAATACAGCTCATTTAACTAAAGTTTACAGGTCCTGGCCTAGAGCAATAATTCATGGACATCTGTGACTTGCCGCAGGCAGAGGCGTCATTTTGGGTAAAGCAGAGTGGGGCATTCCCCCCCTCCCCCCTTAATTTTGAAGTTTTATTTTAAATAGCTATGTATTTTGGCACCTCCAGTAATGAACAACTTAATAAGCCGACCAAGTTTTGGTTCCTCCCCCAACCACCACGCCCTGAAGAAAACTGAAATGACGCCCCCGGTAAAAGGTTTTTCCCGGAAAGCCTTTTGTATACTAAAATACTCGGGTCGACCGGGATCACGGATCCCGGAGAGATAAACTCGATGCGACACGTTTTCCTCGTCTGCGATGTCGTAAAGGAAAATGTGAATGTAAAGCATTACAAGAAAAAAATTGAATTGTTAATTTTGCAGTAGAATCCTTGAGCAAGTGGTAAGGGAAAACTCTGAATAGAGGCGAAACAAAAGAACGGACTTGTCCGGGCGAAAGCCTTCGACAGCAGCAACTACAAACAACAGCAACAAGGAACAGAAGGCATAGAACAAGAGAGATAAATAACTTTATCTCAGGCATTAAGTTTAAGCTGGACAGGACATACGGTTTGGTTACGGAAGCGTAGGCTTCTCAAGAAGATCGTTGTTATTTTGTATGGAAAGACTTCCCGGTTTAAAACTGCTTCATCATTGAATAGACACACTGTTCAAAATTTACCTTAACAGTTGCTCCGCTGATATGATATGTGTAGCATTGTAACGTTAAGATATGTAGCAAATTTTTTAACTAAATTTCCCTAGAGCCCCTTAAAGTTTTCAATTACTTCATGTGTTAATTTTTTTTAAAAAATTCTAGTCAGATATTCGGCAAATACATGTAATACACATTGGATGTCTAATTTCCTAACTAGGGCATGTGCTGCAGAGTACACGCCCAATGTCCTTTCTAGGGCATGTAATGCAGAATACATGCCAAATGTCCTGTCTATGGCATGTAGTACAGAGTACATGCCTACTGTTCTATCTATGGCATGTAATGCAAAGTGCATGTCTAATGTCCTATCTAGGGCATGCCATTTAGATTGCATGTTTAATGTCCTCTCTCCTATGGGAGATGCATTGTATTTTTCTGTGTATTACATTTTGTTTCGTTTGCATTCTATTCACTGTTGTGATGGCCTACTTCATAAGCGCCAGGGATGTGTACCAATTAAAACTGAGTTGACTGGTCGGCCGGCACCTGACATCGAGCTTCCCCGAGTAATTACCTAATCTAAACAGTGAGATTATTCTAAACGAGGCGCAAATTTCTAATCTCAAACAGAGGCTCTCAAAGTGATGACGGCAGCCACGCATCTTTCTTAATACCCGGAGAGGTACGCTACTTTAACATGGGAATGAAATAAGATTATCTTGGTGGGCAGATGTTATATTGATTTAAGAATGAAAATTAAAAATGCACATTGATAAAGATAGTTATAACAACAACAAAACAAAAAAAAACAACAAAAAAAAAAAAAAGAAAGAAAAAATAAACAGGAAACGATGTGGATAAATATGTAACTCAAAAAAAAAGAAAATTAAAAAAGCAAAATGATAAAAAAAGTTAAAACAACAAAAAAAAAAAAAAAAACAACAAAAAAAAAAAAAAGAAAGAAAAAATAAACAGGTAACGATGTGGTTAAATATGTAACTCAAGCATGATCCTTCCTCGCGAAGCCAAGTCGACAGCTTTAGACCAGTTGGTCAATGATAACAATAATGGTAAATTCATGGAAAGCAATGGAAAGGTAGACCATCTAAAAATGACTTATTTTGAGCGTGTTATGTTCAAGGTTTAATGGCAAGACAAGATAATAGAACTTCCTTTTCGGCCGACTGCCTCCTCCCCCGAACGCAGCATTACAATAGAAACAAAATTAGACCGAAAAATCGTCACTTAGCAGTTGAAGTTAACCCACAAGTAACTTAGAGAGGATGCATCCTGTTTATAAGCCTGACAAACATTGAGACTCGACAAATGACGAACAATTCTAAGAATCTTAGCAACGAGGTTAATTTAAAACCCTACATTTCAAAATGTAATAAAAATGGCGAGAAATTTGAGCAAACTAAAAGAATTTTTTTTTTTTAAACTGACTAATACCGTATGGCGATTTGATGCCAACATTTGATCTTACTCTCATTCCACACTCCCACCATCGTATAATCTCGGATACATATTGCTAGGAATTCGTTAACATAATTTTTAGAAAGAAAAAAAATGCATTAGACATTATGTATGTGATAATACAGAAGTGAGTGGGTTTTTTTAGACATTATGTATGTGATAATACAGAAGTGAGTGGTTTTTTTTAGACATTATGTATGTGATAATACAGAAGTGAGTGGGTTTTTTAGACATTATGTATGTGATAATACAGAAGTGAGTGGGTTTTTTAGACATTATGTATGTGATAATACAGAAGTGAGTGGGCTTTTTAGACATTATGTATGTGATAATACAGAAGTGAGTGGGTTTTTTAGACATTATGTATGTGATAATACTGAACCATATGGGTTTAAGTATGAATTATGTATTTGAAAATACAGAACGGAATGGTTTTTTGCTATTAGAAACACTACCAGTCTCCTAGGGGAAAAAAGGCATTCAACATTTCTTCAAGTGTAACTTCGTAACCGATTATGGTAAAAAGTTCAACTTAAAAAACAAAATTAAATAAGAAATGTTGTCTAGATGCTGACAGTTCACACAAAAATTAAACCACTGTAAGTGCGGTTGGGGACATGTCACCATGTAGTCCATCAACCATGACCGTGTCGAGAGTATATCTGTGATTTATACCAGTTTTCAACAAAAACAACAACAACAAAAGGATCAACCGTCTGTTCACGCCTTGATTTAGACTGCAATGAATAACGTACACCATCGGTACAACCATGTGGTGTAACTGCACCATTTGGTATGACTGTGAAGTGTCATTACAACATTGGTAAGTCTGTTTGGTGCCATCACACCATTGGTATGACTCTCAAGCGTCATCACACCATTGGTATGACTCTCAAGCGTCATCACACCATTGGTATGACCTTGAAGTGGCATCACACGATTGGTAAAACTGTGAAGTGTCATTGCACCATTGGTGTGACTGTCAAGTGTCATCGTATCATTCGCATGACAGTGAAGTGTCATCACAACATTGATATGACAGTGGAAGTGTCATTACACTATTGGTATGACAGTGAAGTGTCATTACACCTTTGGTATTACAGTGAAGAGTAATTACAGATTTGGATTGACTGTGAAGTGTCATTACGCCACTGGTAAGACGGTAACGTGTCATTAGCACAATTGGTAAAACTGTGTTGTGGCATTACACCATTGGTAAGACTGTGTGGTGTCATCACACCATTGGCAAGACTGTGTGGTGTAATAACACCATTGGCAAGACTGTGTTGTGTCATCACACTATTGGCAAGACTGTGTTGTGTCATAACACCATTGTTAAGACTGTGTGATGTCATCACACCCTTGGCAAAACTATGTTGTGTCATAACACCATTACTAAGACTGTGTTGTGTCATCACACCATTGGCAAGACTGTGGGTGTCATCACACCATTGGTAAGACTGTGTGGTGTCATCACACCATTGATAAGATTTAGTTATGTCATCACACCATTGGGATGACTGTGTGGTGTCATTACACCATTGGTATGACTGTGTTGTGTCATCACACCTTCGGCAAGACTGTGTGGTGTCATCACACCATTGGCAAGACTGTGTTGTGTAATTACACCATTGGTAAGACTGTGTGGTGTCATTACACCATTGGTATGACTGTGTGGTGTCATTACACCATTGGTATCACTCTGCGGTGTTGTCACTACATTGCCGTCTGCAGTTTCGGGTACACCCTCACTGATATTCGATATCTGAGGTGAGATTATGTAACTTCTTTAAAATGTGCCCCCTCCCCCTCCTTGTTAGTCACCCTATATTTAGAAAAAAAAATTGTGCTTTGTAGAGAATCGTAAGAAAATGTATTAAATATATACTTATAATTGACATCTTTATGTTGACTTTATCGGGGCTTGATATAGGGACAGAATATGTTAGAATCTTTACTTAGTGGATGCTATTTGTCCATACCGGGTATAACATTAATAACAAAGCACACATCCGATTACCAGTTCCTGGGTTGAGGGCTTTATGCGGCGGGAAGCTCAGCTTGTCACGACACTTTCCCATTGCAAGTCAAGAGATTACATCACTTGATCTTAATAGGTTACATCACTTGACCTCAACTGATTGCATCACTTGATCTCCAGGGGCCTCAAGTCGTAACCCGAAATGGGGTCACAAAGGTCTCCCTGGGTATTCGTTAAAACACAACACCAAAAAAAGTAATTACAAAAATATCATTGTTAATCGATATTTTATTGATTTAATAAGTTCTTAGCAATCCTACAGAAAGATATTTTGTTGATGTGTTTTCTCTCTTCAAATTATTATAATTATTATTATTATTTTGTTTATTTTGCTGGCTTCCGTCCTTCACAACGTGACAATGGTGAAGACTTCGCAGGACGAAATCCACATGACATGGCATATGATGATTCTTCTAGGATTATAAGTAGGTTCCCAAATCGCCTCTCTCCACGCCGCTGGGTAACCCTTGAGAACATCATGTGGATGATACAGCTTGGCACCAGCGACGTCGCAGGAGTTGTCGGAGTGTTACATTGTGTCAATGTTATCCGCCTACGGGACTCCATCTTCGGGTTTGAATTCAGAGTTTCCTTCTCTTAGATGAGTTTCGCTCCAAGGTTAACATGTACCACACACCCGGGAATTCCAATTATTTTTTTTTTAAATGTATCGCGTCTCGGGTCCCTTTGCGTCGGTAAAATATGGTTTCGACTCAAAAAGTTTGAGAACCTGTGATTTATAGTCTTTATTTTTTTTATTTGAGCACATGTATATGATATCTTTACATTTCGAATGTGTTTTTAATTCAACAAGCATCTGTGATGCACGGACTGGTTTGATTTAATTTCTAATTACGTCCTTTTTGCTGCTAATATTTTGTTGGCCAAATTATTGAATTATACCATTTAGAGCAGCGGTTCTCAACCTGTGGGTCGCGACCCCTTTAGGGTTCGCAGAACCCTTTCCTAGGGGTCACATAAGACCATCTGAAAACACCTATACTTACAGCTATGAAGAAAAACGAAAATAATTGTGTGGCTGGGGGTCGCCACGACATGAGAAACTGTATTAAAGGGTCGCGGAATTAGGAGGGTTGAGAACCACTGATTTAGAGTTTAGAGAGTCTGATTGATTTAAAAATGTATTTATTTATTTATTTTTTTTTATTTATTTTTTTTTTGCAGGCTTCATTCTTGGTTTAATTGCTTTTAGTACTAACTACTTGATATCGATGACCGAACTCAGAAATGAGATTCACGCTGGTCTCTGGAAAAGTTGCGTAAACGATGAATGTTGGAGCACTAAGGATTTTCTTGCCAGCATCAACAAAAGCATTGGTAGGTGGTACTATCTACAGTCTCTTATAACAACGACATGTGCTCAAGGCGATCAATTGTGGCTCACCTAAGTTAGTTTATCCGCTAACTGATAGAGAATTGTGTGTGAATTATATGAAATACTTATCTTGTTCAACTATTTATTTAACTGGTAGAGACAGGTCTTTTTTAGAGGCGTTCTTTTGAATTCCTTAGCGATGGCCATACTTCAAATATTGATTCAAATCTCTGCTAATGACGTATCATTGGTTTAGGCATATTTATTGCATTAATTAAACTGCAAAATTTAAAGATTACCATAGATGCCTTTTTTTTCGACCTTCAAATTCCGTTCCTTGGGAAATGTTTCTATCTTTGAGGTTTGGCAACAAGTCGAATCGCGGTTAAGGACTCTTTAACATTTGTTTTTTCAATGTCTACCTTATTAGCGACAAGCAATGCCATTTCTATGCCTGCAAGCAATGCCACCATTATACCTGCAAGCAATGCCACCACTATGCCAGCAAGCAATGCCACCACTATGCCTGCAAGCAATGCCATCACTATACCTGCAAGCAATGCCACCACTGTGCCTGCAGCTTCAAAAAGAAATTTACACAACAAAGTAAAGATATGGTTGTGCCCATTCCGGCCAATCTGTCCTTATTCCGGCCAATCTGTGCCCATTCCGGTAAATCTGTGCCCATTCCGGCCAATCTGTGCCCATTCCGGCCAAACTAGGCCAATTCAATTCCGGTTAATCTGATTTCTAAAATTTTACTTTAGAAAAAAAATTAAACAAAACCTTTAAACATTCTGATCCCCCCCCCCCAAACCACATTCATTAAGAGCACCGGAAAGTCAGGTGTTAATTTTATTATTATCGCATGTCTGGAATAACAACACATTATTATGTCCGTTCAGTTTGGCTGGATGCCAGCATCTGGATGATGAGTATCTCAGTCTGCGCCATGTTCGTCACGATCATTATGACATCATTGGCATTCGCCAGGCAGCGTACTAAACTCATGGGATTCTGCACTGCTGGTGTGGCCGGGTTAGCAGGTAAGACGTTAAATATCCCGAAGCGATGCGTTAAATAAGTTTTATGAAATTACAACGGGCCTTAATAAGACACTTTTCCCGAAATCTTCATGGACTGACTAGAATAACTTTTAAGAACTGCTGATGATATAAAGCATGGACATTTGGATTGCATTTTCAACACACACACACAAAGAATTAAATGTGCCGAATACATTGAGAAATTAGAACGGTATTCAAATTATGGAAACAGACATCAGCCTCGGTTCTTTTGACCTCAGTTGTCCTGTTTACTTGACTTCAGTTCTCCTGGTCACTTGACTTCAAGTCCATGGATGATTTGGTTCAGAATAAATTTAAAAAATTTGAGAAGGAGAAGAAAAAAATAATGGGAGAACAAGGGGGGGGGGGGCGCAATTTTTTAATACCGATACAAAAGTTTTTTTAAAAATAATTTATAGTTTATTGACTAAATTTTACAAAACGTAATACTATACACATCTCTGAAAATGTGAGTTTCATCTCTTCTTTGTACTCTATTTGCAGTGCTATTTGGTGTCATAGGTGTCGCTGTTGCTGGCGGTGAGAGCAAACGTGTTTTCAATAGCTTACACGAAAACGCTGCCTTGAAATTGGACTGGTCCTTCACCTTGTTCATGATTGTCCAGCTCGTGTTCTTCGTTGCTGGTGGTCTTCATGCCCTTGACTCAAGGTCAAACACACAGTAAAAGACCTGTTGTTTCCCTCCCCTTCTGATCTAGAGACTCTGTCGATTTCATCTTTAATGGATTTCTTGCTGGTTATGGAATTGATGCTTAGGAAAATTTATTTTTTTCAAAAAAAAAAAAAAGTTTCTCTACTTCATTATGATGTAAAAAATCGAGATGACCGTTAAGTCTATTCATTGACATGTCTTTTAGGTTTATTCACGAGAGTAAGGTCTATTCATCGAGATGTCAGTAAAGTCTGTTCATTATGATGTCTGTAAAGCCTATTCATTGAGATGTCATCTAAGTCTATTCATCAACATGTCAGTAAAGTATATGCATTGAGATGTCATTTAAGTTTATTCAAGATAGCAAAGTTTATTCACTTAGATGACATTGAAGTCTATTCATTGAAATTTCAGTAAAATCTATTCATCAAGATGTCTGTAAAGTCTATTCATTGAGATGCCAATTAAGTCTATTCCTCTCTAAATTTTATTGTGCTGCTGAATATTAATGGTATCCTTAAGACAATCATCCTTACTAATTTCTGATGTATTTATCTTTATGTCTAAATTACCTGTATTTTACTATTCATGTGTTAACACCTTTTTTTCTCATGAGAGAGAGAGAGAGAGAGAGAGAGAAGTACATATGTAAATTAATACTGTTGTTTCATACAGTGGTATAAGTCCAGTATATTGCAAACATATGTCCAGTATATGGCAAACATATGTCAAGTACATGGTAAACATATGTTCAGTGCATGGCAAACGTATCTCCAATGTATGACAAACATATGCCCAGTACATGGCAAATAATATGTCAATTATATGGCTAACACATCTCCAGTGCACGGCAAACGTATGCCCAGTGCATGGCAAACATGTGTTCAGTGCATGGAAAACATATGCCAAGTACATGGCAAGCATATATCCAGAACATGGCAAACATACGTCAAGTACTTGACATGCATATGTCCAGTACCTTGCAAATGAACTTGAAAGTTGATGACTAAATCTCATCTCTTCGTCTGTATTCCAGTGTGTGCTAGTGATATATATATGTATGAGTATTTTAACAGTTGTCCATCAACAAGTCCATTATCAATCATTTTTATGTTACTTTTCCAACTATGACACCGCACTCTGTCTTTCCTCAAGTGGGTGCTACATGTGATCTATTCCTGCATTCGTCGCCATGCCACACAAAAATAAAAGCAAATATTTATTCTACAAAATAGAACTGATTGATTGAAAAACTTATAATATGAAATTTTGGAATTCAAAATTCTAAAATTCAAATTTCAAAAAGGCTTATTTTCGCACACAAGTCGAACAACCGAACACATCTTAATGTCAATACCTGGTCATAGAGATATGGAAATAAGATATTGAACTATTATTTAGGAATACAGATTTTTTTTTTTTAATTATGTGTGGGGGGGTGGATGAGAAGAAGTGTAAATAACAACATAAATAACTACTCCCCTCCATTTTATTTGTTACAAATATGTTTTATTCTTGTAAACATGAAATTTACAAACACACCCAAGCAGAAATTATGTACAAGCATTCTTAGACCATTTGTAACAGCATGAAGGAAGGTTAGTGTAACAATGCATTGAAACAGCGAATTCCAACCACAATGTCCCCCAGGGTAGTGTTACCGTACTTTATGATGTTTTTATTTTTATTTTTTAACTGAATACAGTTATTATTCAAAAGCGGTATGGGTAGACATTTTTTTCAAAATTATTAGAAAGAAATAACAGAAACTAATATACAATAATTTCTCAAACCCATCAAATATTTATATTTTTATCATTGAGTTGTGTGTTTGAAAACGCTAGTTTAACCAGTTCCAAATTGTAGCAGTAAGATAAAACAAACAAAAAATGTTTTGAAAACGTCGCAATAAAAATATCGCTGGTACAAGTAACTATGGCATTATGTGAACGTTCATAAGAGTGTGGCGCACGCGTAAATAACATACACTCCCTGGCTGAAGAAGTCTCTTTTTAGGATACTCTCACTCTTCATTATGACGCCGTGAGGGGAGTTGCTTCCCTTTGAATTGAAGTCAACAAAAACTGCACACGTCATCTTGTCATTTCCTGACGTCATATCTCAACAGACCCACATTCTTCATACGTGACATAGTTTGCTATTGTTCTACGAATGATCCACCTGTCACCACTCCAACAGTTCACATTGAACCCTTGGCTAAATTATTCTTATTCAAATCGTCAAGTCTGTATCTATTCAATTTCTTACACTTCTATCTCTCTGTACCAAGAAAAAAGAACAACAAAAAAAAAAAATTATGGCTAGCTTTATGTTTAGTTGTTAGAAACCAATCACCAGCTCTACTCAATGCCATGACAAATACATCGTGTTTACATCAAATAATTATTTCTTTGTTAATGTTGCTTTACAGAATTCAAAGTGTTTCCATGCACACACACAAAATTAGCAGTGACAAAAATACACTTTTTTTAATGATGTCCAGGTCACAATGACACATGATAGAGTAAACTAGGATTAACAATTTTAAAATATATAAACATTTATATATATTTGGTTAGCACTGAGTGAATATAGTTTATTTGTCCCTCTGACCTTCTCCATAAGACAATATGAAATGCATATTGATAAATGTATTTCAAACCACTCCAAATAAGCTTACATAACAAACTAAGGTAAACTCAAAGAAGAGATGCCATGGCATTTTTTTCTTTCCCCATGGCCATGGGCACCCGCACGTAGTGGCAAGGTGGGGCACTTGCCCCACCCCTGGATTGATTGGATAAAAAATTGTTAGACAAAAATTTTATTAAAGTAAAGAGAAAATAAAGAGAAAGTAACTAAGCTGATGTCCTGTCCGTTCGTTCACCATACAAATACGCTACAGTCAATTAAAACTATATTAAAACATTACTAAAAAATATTTGCCCCCCCCCCCCCTAGAAAGTTTTCTGCGGGCGCCCATGCCCATGGCCGCCATCTTGGTTGACACAACAGTTAATTCTGTCACTAAACCAACAAAAATTTTATTAAAGTAAAAAGAAAATAAAGAGAAAGTAACTAAGCTGATGTCCTGTCCGTTCGTTCACCATACAAATACGCTAAAGTCAATTAAAACTATATTAAAACATTACTAAAAAATATTTGCCCCCCCCCCCCTAGAAAGTTTTCTGCGGGCGCCCATGCCCATGGCCGCCATCTTGGTTGACACAACAGTTAATTCTGTCACTAAACCTAACTAAACGAGCTGAAATAGATTTAAGGTGGCAAGTTGGTTCAGTTCTAGTAAAGTGAGACTTCACCAAATAGGATGATCTAAAGAACATCTCAAGCAAAGGGGAGATAATGTTGGTTTGTAAATAAATCAGGCTAGTCTTCTTTGTGCAGTGGCTGCTCATGTGTATTACCAAAATGGCAGACATTTTAAAATAACTGCAAGAAAAGGGCTAATTCCCCATTTTCCTGCCACACATTTTCACCCATAGGCACTCCACTGTCCCCCAAATCAAAGTTAATGACAGTTTCATTTTTTTTTAAAATGACACTTAAAAGTATGACGTGTCAGTAAAATATCAGTTGGGGAGTCCTTAGATGATTACTCATTCACTGTACATGTTTTACACTCTCATGCCCTAAAGTTACCCTCTCATGACCTTCTTACTTTCTCATCACCTTATGTTACTCTATCATGACCTTACATAACTCTCTCATGCCCTTGTTTTACCCTCTGGTGACCTTATGTGACCCTCTAATGCTCTTGTAACTCTCTCGTGCCCTAATCTTACCCTCTCGTGACTTTATGTTACTCTCTCGTGACTTTATGTTGCCCTCCCTAGACCTTATGTTACCCTCTCATTCCCATATTACCCTCTCATGACTTCATGTTAACCTCATGACCTTATGCTACCCTCTCGTGACCTTATGTTACACTCTCAACTAATAAAAGTCATATACTTTTTGTCATCAAACGGGTGAATATGTTGTCTGAGCTATTTATCATTTATGACTAAAGCAACTAAGCTTAGTTTATCTTAACAAAAGGCCATAGATTGCAGTGAGCAAGACGCTAAAGGAATGTAATTTTGTTTATGCTACACATGTTGAATAAATAAATCCCTGAAGGCAGACAAGTTCCAGTGATTCATTGTCTCAAATCAAGGCTCTGGTAATCCTTAAAAATGCCCATCATGTAGAACTAGCAAAAGTTAACAAGCCCACCATCCTACAAGGATTGAACACCTTGTCTACCCCCTGACAGAAGTAAATAAAAGCAGACAAACCTTTCCCCACACTTAAACGTGTAGGCAAAGCAAGGAGCTCTCAACATAGCCAGCCCCAGTTGTCTTATTTTAATGTCTGGTCATCACACATGACCCGAAGCAAGGCGCCTATACCAGATGCTTTTTATGTTTTGTCTGCATTTTGTGAGCGGGATTGGTGATTGTCAAAGCCTGATAGGTTTTTTTCATTCCATGTGTGTTTGTTATTTGTGTTGACAGCTCATGAAATAGATAGTAAAATCTGGTATAGTTATTATAGGATAATTATAAATGGACTGGATATAATGCTATTATAGCGTGATCAAATACCAGTGTTCAAAATTACAAGAGCTAAAGACCAATGTCCAACACAATCATTTTTGCAAATGAATATGTGGTTAAACTTTAAAAGAAAAAAAAAAATAGTTTTGCAAACCATTCCAGTTGTTAAATTTTTAATTCATGTTTGGCATCTGTCCACAAACAAAAATGTCAATGCATATTCTTCTTAGTTGGTCATCCTACTGTGGTCAATCTTGACAAATGCTTACAATTGCTTAAAAACTTCTGGATTTTTCCAATACAGAATCAACAAATACAATAATAAATATTTGAACTGTGTGATTTTATTGGTTGTATTAAATACATTTCAAGTACATATCACTGTGGAGTGGATTTGCATCAAGTTCATACTGTCATTACACCAACTCACTGAGAATGAATAAAGAAAAATACCTCCCCTCTAGATAAACAACAAATAAAAAATCATAATCACATATAAGTGCTGGTTTTTTTTTTTTCTCTCTTCCCTCTCTAAATGGAGATATGTCATTTTGTTGAACCGGAGTAGTGATTCCGTCCTCCATTACTTAAGGGGAGAACATCATGTAAACACGGTCATATACTATTTAACATATTATTGTTTTACATACACTAGCACTGACATTGGCTGGGCTTATATAAGCAAATTCCCTGCTCTGAATCACTGTCCTGTGATTAGAGTGTTTAAATTTCAACCAGTTACCAGGTATCAATCAAAATAATTTCTTAATAAGCACACCAGAAAATGCCTGAATAAAGAGGAAGGTTGGGTAACTGAATAGTATAAAAGCAGAGGTATTATTTGTGAGATTTTTTTTCTAAAAATAAACGAGAACTGTGGCTTTGACCAAAAAAAATTTTGCCCAGCATTTATGACTAAATTCAACTGTTCAAAGAGAATTTTTATCTACATTTCAAATTTTTACAAATTTAATATTTTGCTTAAATATCAGACTTCAATACAATTTTTTTTCAAGAGAGTTTTTTTTATTGTTATAATTATTATATACTGTTATACAAGTTAAAATTTTAATGAATTCCTCAATAAGATTTCCTAACTTTCTTTTATCTGACATTATAGAGCAAAGTGAGAAAAACAAAAGCAATTTGAGTTTATTGGAAGCCAATCATTAAAAAAACAATGTTGGTCTCTAGGAAAACACAAGTGGAGATAAATAACAAAAAAAAAAGTCTTCACTCCACACAAAAATCATAAACTGTAAATGCATTTAGAGCAAAATAATATTACCCAGTGTGCAACCGATCCCTTACTTAATATAACAGTGTGATTGTTGGCTGGCCCCCTTTTAAGTATTATTAAAGTCATAGATATTTCAAAAACAGGAATTAAATATTTGCCATTTTTATTTGTTCCTCACATGAAAATAAAATGAAAAGTAATAAAAATGATCAAAATTTCTAGACTGTTCTAAAGTGAATACCAACAATTCATATCACCATACAGATGTCAAAATGATAACGGCTAAGGTTTGACCAGATTTTAGCACCTAGGACAGGGTCTGAGAAAATGTATTTCTTTAAGACTCTTTTGGGATTATACAAACAGAAATTTGTCTTTTGATTACAAGCATGTAAACATCTTCAGTGTATTGAATTAAAAGTACAATAAGTGAAGCTTGCTACATGTACAACTCTACATATGTCAACCTGGTACAACTCTACATATGTCAACCTGGTACAACTCTACATATGTCAACCTGGTATAACTCTACATATGTCAACCTGGTATAACTCTACATATGTCAACCTGGTACAACTCTACATATGTCAACCTGGTACAACTCTACATATGTCAACCTGGTGCAACTCTACATATGTCAACCTGGTACAACTCTACATATGTCAACCTGGTACAACTCTACATATGTCAACCTGGTATAACTCTACATATGTCAACCTGGTACAACTCTACATATGTCAACCTGGTACAACTCTACATATGTCAACCTGGTACAACTCTACATATGTCAACCTGGTACAACCCTTCACATCTCAACCTGGTACAATTCTACATATGTCAACCTGGTATAAATCTACATATGTCAACCTGGTACAACTCTACATATGTCAACCTGGTACAACTCTACATGTCAACCTGGTACAACTCTACATATGTCAACCTGGTACAACTCTACAAATGTCAACCTGGTACCAATTTGTTGTGACATTCAAAGTATGATGAACATTTTTTAAGGTACCAAGTGAATGTTTCAAATATTTCCTTACATTTGAACCCCTTGTGCAGTCAATTAAAATCCTATCTGGTACACCACACGCCAAACCTTGACTTAGTGACATACTTCTCTTTTTTTTTTTTTTTCCCAATATTTAATGAAAAAATAGGTAAAAAAATTATTGAAAAATAAATTTGAATATTTCTCAACAATAAACAGTTTTAATCATTCATATAAATATAATTTTATTGAAGACAGAATTAGGGTTAGTGCCGTCTTGTTGAGGATACGATTTCTCCACTAAAATTCCGCCTCTCAAAATAAAGATAAAAAGAAATTGACCCAGGGCGGACCACCTGCTCCATCCCCACTTGCTACCCCCACTGCTTCAAAATCATGTTTAATATCTTAGTGGGATAGAACCATCGATTCCCCACATTTGCAAAATTTATCTTTTATGACTTGGGTATTATGTGCATGATAATACACCTCACAAGTTGTCAACACTGACAAGCATTACAAGCAAGTAACATTTCATGGTCACAGAGAAAAAAATGGTGCCTAGAATATACTGTTCTTAAATAAACTCTTTTTCTTGTAACTTATATGAAAGTATAAAAATATACCGCAGTAAAAAAGGAGATAAAAGTTAAAACAAGTCTTCATACCACTGTGAGATCTGTGTCCAGTACGTGTATGATATTGCTGTCAACATAAGACCCATGCTGACATACAATGGTGGGTAGAAGCTTGATGTGGAGTATTCTTGTGATGACTCTGTGTCCTGCAGGGCTTTATGACACAGCACCCTCGTTCTTTTACTGTTTGGATCTGCCTCTGGTATTCTGTCCACTATCTGGAAAGATAACAAACAAATGGCACAATATATGCAATACATTTGGTTTCTTCAAACAAAAGTAATCCATCATCTCTAATACAATAAATGAATGAAATAGTGAAACAAGGTATGTGGAAGCTTGAAATAAGGTAACAGGACAAAAAACAAGGACGTTTCGGCATAAAGCCTTCCTCAGCCAACAATAGAAATGAAAATATAACAAAGAAAAGAGCACAGTAGACAACTCAAGCAGTATTCATTCGTGTCTCCGGAAGTCGGAAAACAGGAAGCGAGAGAATATAAATATTGACACTGTGAAAAATAAAGTCCACAATAATAATGGACCAGAATATTATGGACCTTATTTCAAGCTTCCACATACCTTGTGTTACTATTTCATTCATTTACATAGCTTGAAAGCAGTCCCTTCATTTATCTCTAATACAATAATCAGAGTTTGACATAATTTAAAATAGGCAACATGAAGCATCCACAAATATTAGGATTGTTCTGACAGATGTTGCAAGGCATAGCTTAGCAACTCCATTGGGATGTATCGTGTTGTTAAAAGTTTCTCCCCCAAAATTATCTTTGAAAAAAACAAGTGCCAAGCAAAACAAGTTGATGCACATTCTGACAAGGCTAAACAACCTACCTCTATGGTAAAATGCCTCATTATAGCCTTGACCGTCTCAAAATTATTGGCATCCAGCATCATCCGCACAGCTTCCCCTTTACGAATTTTCACAACACCTGTGAACACCTTGGGGTTGTTGTAGCAGCGCTCTAGTGTAGCAATGGCCATGACCTTGAGAAGACCAGAAAAATTTTTTTTTTTTAAAGTTATATATGAACTGGCATAGAGAAAAAGAGAGAGGGAGGAAGTGGGGGGAGGTAAGGAGGAAGAGAGAGGGGAGGGAGGGGAGAGAGAGAGAGAGAGAGGGGGATTGAGGAGAGACACAGAGAGAGAGAGAGAGCAGAGGATAAATGAAAATGGATTTAAAAACGCCTTTTAATTGATGTACTTCTTGAGATAATCTTTATCTTTAAAAAAAAAAAAAAAATTTAATTTCATTTACATGAACATATACAACTAGCTTCACTATTTATATAACCATTATATGGAATGGGTAGGGATGAAATTAAAGGAAGTTTCATTTCATCTTAATAATGCCTTGTCAAAACTCAATTTAAAAAGAGACTTTAAAAACTTGAACTCTGAGGTGCAATCCTTCATAGGAATGAATCAAATGTTACATTACCTGTGGGATGGCAACAAAGTTGAATATACTCTGGTTCTTTAGCCGGCTCATGAACAGCAGAGATGATGAGATATGCTCCAGTGCACTGGTGATCAACTCATTCAAACAGACCAGAGCCTTTTCCCTGTTCTCAGGTTGTGCAAAGTCACCTATGTCTTTGGCGTATTTGCTCCAGGCCTGTATAGAGCAAACAAATAATTTACATAAATTTCCCTGACCAGTTAGATCTCCTGTTGTTTTAGAATAGATTATTATAAACAAGACCACTCAAATCAGCATAAACAGAGAAGTCCAACAGTACTTACTGCTCTGGGCCAGAAGATTCTCTTGTCGTTCCAATCTTCTAAGTAATCCCTGATGATGTTGGTCTTCTGCAGAAACAGTCCCAGGCTGTTGGCCAGCGCTGTGTCCTCACCAACAATGGGGTCTTCCAGGCCAGAGCAAGAAAACAGACGGCAAAGCCCAATGCCGACAAGGCCAGCGACATAGTGGCAGTACTGCAAGTAAATATTTAGTTACCACCACGTTCAAAACATTTTTGCCCTCTTCCTTCGGGAAGTTGTTAGATAAAGGAAAAAAACAACAAAAAAAAAACAGGTTACAGTAAAACTCTGATTACAGGACCATGTAAGAGGAAAACAATACAGCTTGGTTTAGACAATAAATTAATAGAAATGTGTATGAATGCAGTCACAAGTAATGAACATACTTTACTTTTCAATAAAAATACAAACATGTTCTCATCCCCCATTTAATTTACATCCAATCCTTGTCAAATTAAATTATCGCTACAGGTAAAGTGGAAGTAAAAAATGAAATGGAAGTGGGTGATGATGGGTCATTTGCTTACTCTGATCGGGCCATTTTATTTAAAGATGGTTAAACATTTTTTTAAAAAATGAGCCAAATGTTGGTTAATATGAAAGCTATCTCATTACAATGTGATGCTCACTATCACTGTCACAATTTTCGGTTCCTGGTGGTAAGTGATTGTTTTTTTGGGGGTGTTTTTTTTTTGACATGACCAATCGATACTTACAAAGTACACAACCTGTAGTTGATTCAAAGTAAAAATGATTTATTTTTTATAATAAATTACTGACCTCATCCCAGTCTTCCATGGAGTCAACTTTTTTATCTAAATATATGGACATTCCTTCCCCCATTTTAGCACAAATGTCTGAGATGACATCTCTGTATATTTCTTCAAGGGCACGGAATTCTTTTGAAATCTGTACTCAAGAAAATGGCAAGGTAAAGATCAAGATTTTTTGTACTAACCTCAGTTTCATGGCTCATTTTGATTAAAATAATAATAAGGCTACATCTATCTTGCAGGATCCTAAACAGATAATCATCTTTAATTAAATGCTTTTAGGTGACTCCAGCAATTTGTTTGAAAAATGGTGTAATGTGTGTGTAGACTATAACCTAAAAATTTATTCTTACTGAAATTTTCCATTAAAAAAATGGTCAACAGGTATTGAAAGACACAGCTATTAACATCCCGAATTTAAATTTGAAATTGAAAGATGGAAATTATAATTCTAGAGCACAAAATAAGTTTTGGAGGTAACAGAGTAATATAATTAACAACATAAACATTCAAAATAAAATTGGAAATGAATCTTACACTTGGGAATCTCTCCAGAACAATTTTATGTTGATCTTTACTTTCCATATATTTCCATTCAGGGTCCAGCAGCCTTTTATGAAATTCCTTTAACATTGTTACTTTAATATCCTTAGGTATAGTCATGTCATCCTCAACAGTGTCAAGTGCTCTCAATACTAGGTAGAAAATGCAAATGGCATTTCTGAAAAGAACAGTCATAAAAAATTTTGATTTACCGAAATGTCTCACAATAAGCAGCTTCTTAAGTTTAGATAACTATACATTTTTAATGAATGTTGATGCGTTAAAATATATTTTGGGGATAGTAAAAGATTTTTTTTTAAATACATAGCATAACAATGAGGTGAGTGGTTGAAGTAAAAGTTAAAATACCTGAGATCACCATCTAAGGCCTGAATAACAGCTGCAAAACTTCTGCTAGTCTTATTTAAGAGATCATAACACTCTCTTAGTGATGGACTCATGGTACTCTAATGTTTAAGTTTGAAAATATACACAAAAATTATTATGTCATGCAACATGGCATGTCTCATGAAAAAAAATTTGTTATCATCATCCTTAAAAAAATATATATGATTTGAAATTCAAACATAAATTTAGCATTTTCATTTAAAAGATATCAGTTAAGGTAAACTCTGTGCAAATGTTTGTCAAAATTTAAAAATATGAATGCAACTTGGTTTTACTTAATTAACATACACAAAGTGATTTCTTGTTACAATCCAGGGAAAGATCAATAGAATATACATTAAATGAACTAAAAGCCAAAGAAAAAGGAATACATTTTACTGGGCAAGCTATTCTGTTTTACCAAATTAAGAACAACGCCCATAGCAGATCCAGTCAAGGGAACGACCACTTTGTAACCACAATTGCCTAATAAAATCATCTACTACTTAGTGAACTTAGGTGTCAGGTTTTATTGAATTTCTTGACATTTATTTCATTGTAATCCTTTTCATAGTCCATGTTTACATAGGCAAACAAAATCATTGTAAAAAAAACAACCCTACCCAACCTAGTCAATTTAATGTGCACAAAAATAAGCCCTTTTTACAGGCTCGACCAGACCTGCACAACTCAAAATTTAAGGCGGGCCATAACACTTGATGAAAACCTTGTGCGGGGCAAAAGGAAATAGGACAGGACTTGTGCGGGCCAAACGAAAAAAGGACAGGGGGAAAAATATTAAGAAAATAATAAGAATAAATAATATTTCGTTACTTCGCGGGCCATAAAGAAGGTGCTGTCGGGCAGCATGTAGGCCCACGGGCTGTATGTTGGGCAGGCCTGGGCTAGGCCACTTGTCGGACAAGCGCAGTTGTGGATTATTGAAGAAATAGATTCTGCTCTTCCTTTTAAAAATCCATAACCATAGCTTTAAATGACGAATAATCCAACCACCCCTAACTGTGGCTCCCAAAATTATTTTTAGAAGATATAATTTATATTTATGCCATGTTACTCAAAAAATTTGCCAACCTCTGAGGAGGTGCTGCAGAATATTAATTTATTAAGTATAATTGTACTCACAAAATCACATTTTGGCATAACAACTTCACAACCCCCAAACTTGAATCGAAGGAGAGCATACACCTCATCAGGATGAGTAAATGATTTTAGTAGATCCATTATTCTTTTTTTAATACTGTATATATATATAAATATATATGTATTTTAAGACGTAGCTGAAATGCAATAATTTGAAATTAATTTTTAATCATTAGGCAGGCATGATAAGGCTAATTAAATAAAATCAATGGCCACAAAACGTATTGTGAAATATTAACTAATTTTACATTTTAGGCCGAGACATTGCTTTAAGTTTAGGGACTGTGCCAATGACTGTGCCGCCCCTTCCTTTTTTCATCAATAAATGATGTACATAATATTACATTATGTTCATATAACATATGGATTATTATTATGTTTGCACACCTTCTCAAAATATCTGAGCTGGCACTTGGGGCACCACTCACCAACTCCTTTGCAGGGCCCTAGGGCTAGGGTCAAAGGAAAATGTTCCTCACTTTATTTAAGACATATTTTTATAGGCCAATTATTATTATAATTATAAATGCCTCAGATAATAATTATGTCAAGTAGCCTGTAAAAGTGCTATTTAACCTTAAAATTTTAAAAAATAACAAAAATACTCTCCCCGGCCCCTGGGGTGAGTTTCTATACTATGTACTATATGAGTGTGAGTCCTGTTCAACAGTTCAAAATAAAACTTAAAAGAATAAGTTTCCTAGGACCTATAATAAATTATAATAATAATAATAACAATTCTTATTTTATTAAATTGTATACTTATATTATATACTTATAATTATATACAACAAAGCTGCCGGTTTATTATTTAAATAAGAAATAATTATTTAAAATAAATAGGTCTACAATTATTACTAATTCTATTACTGTTACTGTTCCTAAATAGTGAGTGTCAGTTAAATTATTTTAACGTGTTGAGGCTTGAGGACATGTCTTTCAAAACCATTATACTGGATTTGTCACCACTATGGTTGTGACCCATACATTACTTTAGTCTTAGTAGGCCTACGTATGCTGTATAACCGTAATTTAATGGGTCACGGGAAAATATCCGATTTACTGCATTAATTTTAATCTCACACTGCAAACTACCACGGTTTCTGCGATAATTAATAATGATTAAATTATGTCTATGTGTTTTATTTGTTTTAATAGTTAGTAGTTCCGTTACCCTTCTGCCTTCTAGTTCTAGTGCCAGCGGAATATTTAGTATTGCTCATACTCATATCATTTCATTTATAACATTTAAGTTTTCCGGTATAGAAGTATATAATATAAATAGATTTATATATTTTTACAATATAGCCTTATAATCTTATAATTATTTCTGTCACCTAATAATAATATTAATAAGCCTGGCTAATACTAATACTAATACTAGTGTCAGTGTCTACAATTACAACTACAAAAGTATTGTTATGAATAGGGCAGGGCCTATCATCTATGCTTTATTGTAAAAAAAAAAAAATTTTTTTAAAAAGTGAAACCGTAGCAACAAAAAAAAAATAGCTTTAAATTATAATCCATTTCCTTTGTTATAAAAGATCTCATAAATTGGGTTTAAAACAAAATAAGTGAGTACTCACATATACACTTGGAAAAAGGACGAAAAATAATAGTTCAGTGAAAGAAAAATTAATTTCATTGGTTCATGTACACCACCAGAGATACAGCTAGCCAATCAAAGCTAGCAATATGACTTGATTTTAGTTCCGATAACTCCAATTTTGATACCAGTTCAAATTTGTATATGTTATCTCCCCTTTTTATTATTTATTATTTTCCTTTCAATGATTTAATTAAGTCCAGCAACGTTGATATTCCTGTCGATCTCAGAAACAACCTGACATTGGAGTCCTTTAAAACCGATTTAAAGACACATCTATTTCGCAAACACATTCTGGGATGATTGTCTACCATATCTTCCATTTAATGCATATTGACTGTGTTGCTTAGGGTTGAAATGGGTAGAAATACTTTGACATTGTATGCTTGTAATTAGTTTTTGTAGTGTTGTGTTTGTTTTAAATGTGGTAAATTATATTACTTTCTAACGCGCTTCGAGCCTTGGGGATGAAGCGTGTTTTTGAAATAAACTTTATTATTATTATTATTATTATTTGTCGTGCATTTTCGTAACAGGTCAGAAATGTTGGTAAAATTAAATTGAATGCATGTGTGTACAAATTTAGTTGATTCAAATTTTCATATACGAATTTTTTCTAAAAATATAAAGTTCATTAAGCAAATGGAAAATGGCACACGGTTTAGCCAGTTTAGAAATGTTTAAGTAGCTTGATAGCAGACTCATATATATATAAATATAAAGTTTACAACCGTGTCTTATAATGTTCCTTTTCCATAGGCCCAGACAAGGCTATATTAAGAGAAAGCTGCACCGTAGAGTCCGGAGCCACGACCGGTTAGAATTTGTCTCTAGTGGATCATGCATGAGCGCGCCGGAGGTTAATGGCCTCCTCCCCCCACCCACCCCCTCATAAATTACTACACACGTATTACTATTTTGGAAAAAAAGAAAATAACAATAAATGTAAAAGATGATTTTCGCGTCTAATGAAATTGTTTTACGCTATTGCTGCTGTATAGTCACTTATGACTGAAAATGTAATAACTTACATTAAAACAATATATCTATATACATATATATATAAGATCGGAAGAACGNTATATATATATATATACCAGTACCCCGGGTAGATGGGAACCTTGGACGGCAACTCATCTAAGAGAAGGTAACACGAAATCAAACCAGAGATGGAGTCCCGAAAGGCGGATAACATTGGTACAATGAAACAATCCGAAAACCCCTGCAACGCCACTGGTGCCAAGCTGTATCATCCAAATGATGTTCCCTTGGGTTATCCAGCGGCGTGGAGAGAGGCGATTTGCTGTTGGGAACCAGCTTATAATCCTTGAAGAATGATCCGTGGTCTTGTGGATTTCGTCCTCCGAAGCGCACACCATCGTCACATTGTGACGGAAGGATGCCAACAAAAAATAAATAATATACATATATATTAAATCCATGCATTTTATTAAAAGCAGAGATTTAAATTGTTTCTATTTGTAGTTAAAGATGAAAATCACCCATCGGAAACTCTAATTTTATGTATCATACTATTTTAAATAATCTTCATATCTATTTATTTTTTTTTATTTTGTTGTTGTTGTTGTTCTTTTATGCAAATTGTCCTTAGAGAAGGTATGATATCTACAGGATGGTTTTACGATCATCACCAAAAGAAATGTAAAGGGATGTTTGCTATTATATTAAAGTTACACATCGTCCTTCCCCCCCCCCAACCCCCATAATGTTTTTGCAAGTAGGCAAATTAAACCTATGATTCAAATCAATATTGAAGTGCACTAGGCTCTGCTCTTCAGCAAAGGGTTCCTCTCCCTGAGACGTGCTGTGTCAATACACACTTACAGCGCCCATGTCAAAGCCTTGTAACTTGTACCGCAGAAAAAGAATTCAATGAGCCACTGTCATGCTCACAGCGGTGCTCAAAGTGGGATAGCCTAGAGGGGTTGCGCAGTTTTAAGAGGCGCTGAGACTCCCATTAGGGCACATATGTTGCGGAATGTTAACTTTAAAAAAAAAAAATTGAAATTACATACATTTTAAAGTAAGGTAATTTAGAGGGATCTATGAAGATTCACCGCCCCTATTTCGCCGACGCTGGTAGAGAAATTGTTTGAATAAAAAAAAAGTGCTAATGTGGATAAAATAAATGTGGAGTTTCACAAACACCTCTCAATGTAAACTTCAAAGTTGTTTGTTTGTTTTCCTTTGTAGTTCTTTGTTAGGTCCACATAAGGGGTCGTTGGTAAATTACGCCACGCTAAAAATAAATTACCTTTTTAGACCACCCCCCCCCCTTTTCCCCCCTGTCATAAAGTGTCACAAATTGTCGACAGGACAGCAAGAGGACAGCGAGGAATATCATTGAAGTGTTCTAAATGTATTTGGAACCGATCAGTTTTTTTTTGTTTTGAAATTGTTCTATTATTTAGTCTGTTCTAGTTGCTTGTTTAGTGCATAGTCCTGTAGCTAGTCTAATGGTTAGTCCAAATCTAGACATACCAATATAAAAGCTAACGAGCTCTCACTTCCACTGTTCTTTCTTTTAATCATAATCATAACTTTCCGTCGTGTATGTTTTATGTCACAGAAATTTGGCTCTGGAAAAGAATGATTTTTTAAAAAAATGCTAGGCTTAACAAAAAAAAAAAATAAAATATAATAATAATCCAGCCCTTAGTTTTTACGACACACAGTTCTCTCCCCTTATCTTGCATTTCTATTACACACTTTTGGACTGCGTCAGATCTAATTTTAGCCCAGAAAAAAAAAACAAAAAAAAGAAAGTTGGGAAGCTAGCAACGATAAGGCACATAGAAACACAGCAAAATAAATGGAGGAGTATGAGTCGATCTAACTGTGGGGCGGAATTAGGGTCTCTATAGCGGCTGTATTTGATGTCAGATCTCATGTAATGTCTACTTGATGACTCCATTGTCTGTATTTGATGTTATACTATATCCAGATTGTCTGTGCTTGGTGTTAATTCAGCTCTATTTGATACTTTGTGCTGAGCTTCGTGTTATGTATCTACTTACCTCATTGGCGCACTAGGACATTCTGGTGTGCCCTTTTTCAAAATGAGTAAACCTCGCTCCTCNAAAGTGCTGTAGTGAGCTGATCCAACTTACCCCAATTGACGAAACAGAGCGAATGTGAACAGATTAAGAATTAGACGCGAACATTTTGTGTTAATATAAAATAAAATTAATTAAAATTATTTAATTGTTTTTTTGTTGTTTTTTTTTTGTTGTGTTTTTTTGTTGTTGTTGTACCGATGAAGGCATGTGTCGAAACGTATAGATCTACTTGTGTACTATGTAAAATTATTATTAAAGCTTAACGTATATTGTTATATTGACACAAATTATTCTTGTCTAATTAAATCTATTTTAAAGCTTTATCGCAGTCCAACGCTTTTTTATAATTAGATAATTAAATGTAAACAGCGTGGATTATGTTTCTGTTGTGAGACGTAGAGACAGGCCCTAAGACTGACACCACTTGACCAAGACCTTACAAAGTATCAAGAAGGATTGACCAGACAAGGCGTCATGTTAATAAAAAAAACTTTTGCTAAATAATGATCCTACAATAAATAGCCGAGTTGCCGCGTACTCGAGTAATCAGCTCATTATTAATTTAATGAAAATAACAGCCAACTTTTTATTGATACGTTATAATGTCAAAACGTATTATTTTTTATTTTAAATATCCTCCGTAATGGGTCATGCTGAATATTTCTCTGAGAATGTTTATAACGGAGTGGGACATATGGCACTAATGATGAGTTTATGACCCAAAGAGGCTGTGGCCAGAAAAAAAAAATGTTTGAGAACCCCTAAGTTAAACACACACACACACGTTTTGATGCGGAGAATCGCCGGGGGCTGTAACGAGCCTAGTTACTGAGCACAGAACGTGGTTATGAACTGGTATAGTGGGTTATAAGGGGAGAGACTGCAATCAGGTTAGCACAATATAAACAAAGGAGGGTTTGACAGTTGTTTTGTTCGCTGACGAAGGCTTCCTGCCGACACTTTCGTTGTGTTGTGGCGTTCTTTTTTCAGGTTTAACCCTACTTTTTTTTTCTATTCATTAAATGCGGTGTGCTACACTTACCCAAAGGCCGATGCCAAAATGCTGCGCAACACGAATCAAGAACGCAAATTATATTTGGTTGTTTCTTCGAGGAGACTGGTCCAAACACATTAGAATTATTTTGGGCTACGGTACCTTTGGCTAGTTTGAATTCTTGTCATGTACCAATCGCACTAGGATTTCAAAAGGTTTACCTAAAACGTGACATCGATTTTTCAGTTGCGTTTCACTTAGAGTCCTAGAGTGAAACACCCGTCACACGCCAATGAACAAGCTCCGCGGCGTGACCTCGCCATTTGAACAACGCTGTACGGGTGAATGGGTAGACGGGGACAAAAATAGCGGATCGTGTAGTCCCGTCGACTGAACGCTCTGTGAACAATAACAATAACAACCCAAGTCCAAGGGTTTAATTTAGGCTGTGTGGTGTCCTAGTGAGCTGAACCTTGTGGCCTATTTGAACTCAGTACGAAGTGTTTCATTTCTCTGGCTAAAGGTAAGGAAACTTAATCCGTGCTTAATTTTGGAAAAAAAATTCGCGCTCGTGTGTGTGTGTTAAATCTGGATAGCTCATCAAGAAACAGCTGTAGTTAATCCAGCCCCTTTGCAATCTTTGCAAGAGACAGGAAATCTACGGCGGACAACAGGTAGAGCGGAGATGGGTGTTTAGGGGTAAAAATGGAGGTACATAAATATAATAAACGCTTCTTGTTTGTTTGTTATTTATAAGCTGCTACATTACTTATTCAACTAAATCCCTGGAAGTAATTCAGTCAAATCTACAGATCATCGTTTAGCCTATTTTGTGTTTATTTATCTTTCCAAAAGTTCCACTAAAATAAGCCATGACGTCGGTTGTTGATGCCTAAATGCTTATCTCCTGGTGACTTACTTTCAATGATGCCCCACCGTGGTGCCTTGAAACTTAACGAAACTCTTTATTGCCATTTACACAGAGTAGTCTACGTGAGAGTAAAAGTCATCCACGGAGAACGAAATTCCTTGAGCCGTAGCACGATTAGATCAATGAGGTCACGAGTTTGATAACATGTTTTTGAAGCTTTCTCTGTTATGAAGTCAATGGCCTGTGAAGAATAAATAACCTATTTAAAAGTATCTGAACAATCGCAAGTTCATTTTACTTATACTACTAATGTCCTCAGTTGGATTTGAACTTTAAAGCATGCAGTTTTGAAGTTACGTTTTCGACACCAGCCTCTGTAACAGTAGCAGTAGCTTTATTATTTGCCATATTGAATTGCATAGTAATCTAAAGTAATCTATTTCAGCCCTTGCATTTCTTCCTTTATATTATTTTTATAATTATCAGACCATTAACAAAAACATGCTTCTACAAAATAGGAAAAGAGGGAAAAAATAAGAAAAAAATATTGCATTGAAATCTCCCAGACTGGATGATGAGTTTATCGTAATTACATTTTTTCTAACAGTACATAATATTACTAGGCAAACAATTGAATGTTTAACATAAAAAAAAAAACACAACTTGAGCACATAGAAGTGAAATAATTAGAGCAATTTATTGTTAACTGTTTCTCAAATCACAGTCACACCACACAATAATCTTATGACAGCCACCTAGCCATCGCATTCAAACCACACAGCTTCATCAGAAGCACACGAACAACAATTGTGGCACCAGACAAACCCCCACAGTCACATCTGACAACTTTAACACACACAAACAAATGACTAATAATTGCCACACCACACAAACAATCACAATCACACACCTTTCTTAGTCATTCTCGAGCAGAAATAGCCACATCACTCAACAATCTCACAGATAAACCACACGACCATGCAGTGCACCCACACGAGCAGCAACAGCGACATGACTCAAACCATCCCACCAGCACAACACAACCGCAACAGCTAAACCACACAAATGGATCAGCCACACGCACGAGCTGCATCACTCATCCATCACTGCCACATCACATAACCATCAAATCTCCACCACAAAGCCACCACAGCAGTTCTCAAATGGTCACATCTATCAACCTACCCATTCGAACTACAGACCCACCTTCTCCGCAGTAAAGCTGCACACGTCACAGCAGTTCTCAAATGGCCACATCTATTAACCTATTCATTCAAACTAAAGACCCACCTTCTCTTCAATCAAACTGCACACGTTCACAGCAGTTCTCAAATGGTCACATATTTCAACCCGCCCCTTCAAACCACAGACCCGCCTTCTCTGTATCCATGCTGCATGCTTTACAAACAACCACGTAACATAATGCTCCATCCATCAAAGGTTGTAATCGCTAAACATGATGAGCTCACAAAGACAAGAGTGGACCGTGGAAGACTTTGATCTCATGCAGCTAGTCTACTACGATGTCAACGGCACGCCCAGAGGGAAGACAATCCCTAAAGATGTTGCCAGAAAATCCTTGCAGGATGGCATTGAGTTCATTCAAGGTGAGTTAAATTAAACCAAGACCATTAAAATGATTAGAGTTATCAATTAATGATATTTATAAGTACTTCTTAAATTAACATTTAATTAAAATAATATTCAGTGTGGGGCGGGGGGGGGGGAGAAAAATATGAGGGGTTGCTAATACCGGTATTGTAGAGCATACCTAAACTACAACACACTTGCTAACTCCCTGCTCTTAGGGAAAAGACAGACAAGTCCATTAATTCAGTTCTTATCTTAGTTTACACTCAACGTAACAACATGAAGAAATCTCAGCCAGCTCTCTGCTCTCAGTCTCTTTACTGGTCACTTTCACTCGCACCAACATCAAATTGAATAAGCACATCAAGTTATTTTAAGACTTCGCCTGTTTCACAGCACTGACCCATCAAGAATACATGTTAAGTAAAACAATTGTGTTGGCTGGACCTAGGGCCACACACACACACACCAAGAAATACATGAGATGAACACCAGGCCGCTGTCCAGTACTGTTTGCACACAAGATCGTGATGAAAACCCCGGGCCTGACTTAACGTGACTGTTCGTTGTTCGCCTAACTTCTGTTCCTCCCTAACTTATGCTCCTCCCTAACTTTTGTTCCTCACCAACTTCTGTTCTGTTCCCGCCCATAACTTCTGTTCTTCCGAACTTCTGTTCCTGCCTAAGTTATGTTCCTGTCTAAATGCTCTTCCTGCCAAACTTCCGTTTCCTGGTCTAACTTCTGTTCCTGCCTAGCGTCCGTTCCTGTCTAACTTCTTTTCCTGCCTTACTTGAGTGAGAGTTCCCGAAAGCTCCTTACAATATTCAGCTTCGTGCTTTACGAAATACACCATCACGTAATTATTTGCTGACAATCTCTGACATTCAGGTGAATGGTTATTCATGTGGGAGCTATTTCTGTTAAATTATTTATTTTTTTTCGTTTAAAGCCCAAGGTAGACACACACATAACAAAACTGCTGAACATTTTAAAACGCTCAAGACAGCGTGTTGCTAAATGCAGAAAGCAATGTCTTCTAACAAACGTGGTATATCAAATGGAGTCCGCCAAACAGTTTTGCAGGTTGTTGGCCTGGCAGCGGATTTCCCCATGAAGGTGAAGGAGCTGATGGAAGGATTCACCAATGGTATGTTTGTCCCCGACCTTGACACGCTCGTTAAGTGGCCTTGGGCCTGTAAACCAGGACGAATGGTTGGACAGGTCATAGGTCACATCATTCAAGAGGATGGTCGGCCTGACCCTATTGCGATCCGCAATCAGGTAATTTAATGAAAAATTAGGGCACCTAGCTTATGATCATATTTTTTTTAATAAAAGACTTTTTATTTAGGCCTATTTAATTTAGTAAAGTTTTTTTTTTTTCTTATTAGTGTTGGGCTTCTTTCAGGCTCCATTTCTTTGGATTCTTGACTTCAGCTTACATTTCGCTTAAGGCTTTGTCTCAAGATACCTTCTGAAGTATTTCGTTTATAGACATAATATAGTTTCTTGTCTTTAAAATAGTGGTCAGTAAAAAATAAATTTAAAAAATATATATATAAATAAAAAGTCAGAGTAGGTATTCAAAGAATTGCATGCCTTAAAATCACACCGAACAAGGGAGACAAAGTTTGGAACGGCGATGCACTTTTAGAAAAAATAGCAATTGCATCCCTTTTAAATGAAAATGCGTGCAATACAAAGGCATGGGCATAAATGTAGTGCTTCCAAGAGTTCGTTACAGTGGTTGGAAAATCGTGGATCGCGAGTTGCATGCGGCTCTTGAGCAACCTAAGAGCGACAAGGCCAGTCAGCTACAAATCGGTTTTTAAAACATGGTTCTTGACAGGTTCTTGACAGGTTCTTGAAAAGAAATTTGGCTCTCAATTTTGTTTAATCGTCTTGCTGGTGATTTTTTGGTTATTTTGACTTTTCACTAATGAGTTTTCCTGCCACTGGTCTAGTGGATTATGGTGCTCAATTGAGATCAAAGTGTTCACAAAAATGTCATCTAACATAAGAGGTGGTGATACTTAATTGGTAGATCTATATAAGAACTTACCGTATATATATATATATATATATATATATATATATATATATATATATATATATATTATTTTTTAGATGTCGTTTATTTGGATTTTTAACACACACAAAAAAAAAAAAAATTAACCATAGCTTTCAAATTAAATTTCTTATATGATATCAGCTTGACAATCAAGTACGAAAGTTGAAGACGATGGGTTACACAATCCAATCTTCCTTCAGCATACAGTTTACAGTGTTTAAACGAGCCAACGATGTGTGTGGGGAATTTTTAGGTGAGTCAAAGTTAGTTGAAGTTCAAAAAAAAAACAACTCAGACTACGGTTGGTCGTAAATGGAAGTGGGGTTTAGGGGGGGGGGGGTAGTTCAAAATCCTTTTCACTAAAGTATATATCTTTAGAAGAAATGTGAGCGAAGGGTTTTGGCGATGATTATGTGGGAAGGATTGTGGAGACATCATCAGTTATAGCAGCTGTGTGACATCATAAGTTTTAGCAGTTGTGTGACATCATCAGTTATAGCAGCTGTGTGACATCATCAGTTATAGCAGCTGTGTGACATCATTAGTTATAGCAGCTGTGTGACATCATCAGTTATAGCAGCTGTGTGACATCATCAGTTATAGCAGCTGTGTGACATCATCAGTTATAGCAGTTGTGTGACATCATCAGTTATAGCAGCTGTGTGACATCATCAGTTATAGCAGCTGTGTGACATCATCAGTTTTAGCAGCTGTGTGACACCATCAGTTATAGCAGCTGTGTGACATCATTAGTTATAGCAGCTGTGTGACATCATCAGTTATAGCAGCTGTGTGACATCATCAGTTATAGCAGCTGTGTGACATCATCAGTTTTAGCAGCTGTGTGACAGCATCAGTTATAGCAGCTGTGTGACATCATCAGTTTTAGCAGCTGAGTGACATCATCAGTTATAGCAGCTGTGTGACATCATCAGTTATAGCAGCTGTGTGACATCATCAGTTACAGCAGCTGTGTGACATCCTTTCATCTGCTTCTACTGCCACGGGTGCCATTTTACAAATTTTCCCCATCCGTCTCTGATTTGTGATAGTCTTCCCAGCTCATTCCACTTGTTGCTGTTTCTCTCTCTTCTCTCTCTCTGTCTATTTATATATATTTCTCCCTCTCTATTCTCTCTATCTCTCTCTCATATTCTCTCTCTCTCATTCTCTCTCCTCTCTCTCTCGCATTCTCTCTCCTCTCTCTCTCATTCTCTCTCTCCTTCTCTTTCTTTCACCTTCTCTCTCTTTCTCCCCCTCTCTTTCTCTCTTTCTCCATCGCTCCTTCGCTCTCCGTCGATGTGACTTCTCTTTGTGGTCCGTAGTCTTCCCCTCTTTGTACTATGAAGTGCTTTATATGTAACTTCCTAGCGATGTTTGACTTATATTGCGCTATAGTTTTGTAGAAATTTCTCAAATGCACATTGAAATTACATTTAAAATAAATTCCAGCAACTATACAACATTCTTCTGCAGCGTCATTGACACACCTAATTTAAATACCACCTGGGGGTGGGCCGAGACTCTTCCCCCCCCCCCACCCCAAGATAAAGAGGAAAAAAGCCTGCAGTTGGATGAAAAAATTTCTCAAATGCACAATGAAATTACATTTAAAATAAATTCCAGCAACTATACAACATTCTTCTGCAGCGTCATTGACACACCTAATTTAAATACCACCTGGTGGGGGGCCGAGACTCTTCCCCCCCCCCCACCCCAAGATAAAGAGGAAAAAAGCCTGCAGTTGGATGAAAATGAGGATCTTAAATTATAAAGAGGAAAAACTGCCATCACCACCTGCCTCCACCCCCAACACCTTTTTTTTGTTTCATACGTTACTGATTCGCATGCAAGCTATACATAATATCTTTATAGAGGGCCATAAGCTTTTCAAAATGATATTAAGAAATTCGTCTTTTTTTCTGACCCAGGACCTGACAGTCTCCTTGGAGTAGCCCCATACGATAGCATCGGCGTAGAAGACTGTATGCTGGACGTGTGTCAGGAACTGATGGATGCTGGGATAGAGGTGGAGTCGTGGAGCAGCCTACCGAGCAAAGGTTTGGCATTTATCTACCTTAAATCTTAATAAAAATGCAGGATCAATCAATCAATCTTTTTTAACTAAACGTAGTATTGTACACCTTTTATATACGTAAAGTAACATGGGTCTATCTTCAAACTGAGTAAAGTAGCATTTTCTATCGTCTAACATTAAGAATTAGAATAGTATCGTGCTAAACTAGAATTATAGCTTCACACGTTGGGACCTAGCAGGGCTTTCGTTGAGACATGAACTCTTTAGAATATCAAACTTTCCACCTGAGAACGAACCAAGGAGGTCTATCTGACATACAGTTCGATTTCACTGCAATGGAACGGTTCAATATAAAAAAAATAAAAAACTTTTTTGATGTCTCAAGATCACATTTATATCTTTTATATCTCTTTCACGAATGGCAGAGACAAAAAAAAATGTAAATATGAGGCATACAACAATGTTTAAATTCTAACTAATATTATTGACATTTGAAAGTCGGTTCCCAGATTTAAAAAGGACTAAGTTATAGAGCCCGCCGCGTCATTTCATAGCGGCTTCGAATGCGCGTACTTCACATCTACTAGAGTTACTTGACGAAACATGCGTTCAATCAACGCTCTTTATAATATTGATGAGATTCCCAATTAATACTATCCCGTCCCTCGTACGTCACCGACTATGAGCTATGATACATTTTAAGATCTCACCACCTTTTAAACCGCTTATTCATTACACCAACCATCTAGTTGCTGTTGTTGTTGTTGTTGTTGTTCGTCCGTCAAAATCGACAAGGACCATCACGTCATCCGGTTGGGGGAGGGTGGGTTACGGTGAGCTCGTTATAGGTGGCTTGCTAGACCGATCCGTGCGATAGTTGACGCGGATAGTGGCCTAACGTTGCTCTTTTGGGCCAGCCTGCGTGTCTCAGTCATGGTTATCCTATTAAGTATTAGCTTCATGGGATTTAGCCCCCTTCGTGACATCTGCTCTCCACCTGGCTCTCTCCTGGGCTGTCTGCACCTATTGAGTAGGGTTGATGCTGAAGGCCTTTTTCGTTCAGCTTTCAGTGAGTCTTTGTAACACTTTTTGTTTTTACCTCCTTGGGAGCGCTTGCTTATCGTGAGTACTCCGAAGAATATCTGTTTTGGGAGCCGGGCTACGTGTCCCATCCAACGGAGCTGAGACTGCTTCAGGGTGGTGAAGATACTAGGTATAGGTTCGGTCTAGCGAGGACCTCGGTGTCAGGAACTTTGTCTTGCCACCTGACGCCAATGAGTTTCCTGAGGCAGGTTGTGTGAAAATGATTCAGTTGCTTTGCGTGACGCTGGTAGACTGTCCACGTAGATGATCTACGTAAAACAAAAGTAAATATCACGCACCGGATGCACTCGCGGTATTTCTAAGAACCTAAATTTGCGCAGCTAGCGGACATTTTATTTTGCGGCATTTGGAACCTAAACAATAGTAACGGACATTACTACATAGAGACTAATAGATCTTGGTAATATTTTAAGGGCTGCCTTCAAGACGTGTGAAGGATATGGTGGAACAGACAATTAAAAGCTCGAAATGAACTGTCCTGATTTTCATGTCAAGCCTAAACATAGCATGTTCCAACTATTATTTCGTTTCCGAACTATACATCAAAATATAACTCTTCACCAAGGGACAATGTTTTCGTAGGCATATTTAGCGTGCTTAAACTCCAAACAACTTATACTATTTCAGGAGTTTTACAAATATTACATACACTTGAGTCTTACATTCCGATGATTGGCTTCTAGGTGCATATGAGATGACTCTGGTATCTACCGAAGGCACAGCGTCTGCTGACGCAGCGTGTCGATTCAAACACGGGATAAAAAGCGCCATGGCCCAACGTGGCTTTGAGGCAACTTTCATGACGCATCCATCCGGAGCTGGAGACAAAGCTTTCTCCACCATGATTCATCGCTTTTCGCTTCACAGCGCGTTGGGCCAGAATGTGTTCATGGACGAAGCAGATGAGGACAAGCTCTCAGGTAAGACGTTCAAACAACAAGGTGTTTGACATGGGCGAAAAAGGTGAGGACACGCGCAAAGGTAATACATTCTCATAACAAGGCTTGTAACACGGGATGAGGCAGGTTAGGACATAATCTAAGGTAATGCATTCACACAACAAGACGTGTCACATGGGTGAGACGGATGAAGAGGCACTCTAAGGTAAGATATTAACAGACCAAGGTGAATTACGTGGTAGAAAGTAGACTGATTTTTGTCAGTGTTCTTGGAAGAGTGGGGTTTAATGAATGTCTGTTAAAAAAACGTAAGCCTTGTTTTTTTAAATAATTATTGACGAGCATAACTAGGACACACGTGTGAAAGATTTGCCTAACGGAGTAAAGTGGTACAGTAAAGACTGAAATCAAGGAAGCCTTGTACATTCTTTACTACATCCTTTAGTACAGCAACAGATGCTTCACTGCATCTCCAAAATATTGTGTAAGTCGCCTTGAAACAAAAACGTTTAATTTAAAAAATGTAATTTTTTTTTTCAAAAAGTGTCCTAATTCATTTTATACAGTTATCAGCCCGTGGTCGACAAAAGACAGAACGCATAATGACATATAATCATTAACATTTGTAAAAGACCAGGAACAGGGACTAGAGTTACCGGGTGCAGGGTCGCCTGATTGAAAACAAATTAATTTTAAAAAACCCGTTTAGAAAGTATTATTTCTTCCCTTTTGTCAGGTATTGCCCGGCATTGGATTTCCGGTTTGCTAGGACACGGAGCCGCCATGACAGCTCTCTGCTGTCCTACAGTCAACTGCTACTCACGCTTCAATCACGACGTCACATTCCCCAAACGTCTTGACTGGGAGATCGATGACGCCACGGCTTGTCTAAGCGTTCGCCTCAACGGACGTGACGTCTGGATAGAAAACCGTTTGCCCACCGCCGCCTGCAATCCGTTCTGCGTCCTCCTGGCAACCCTGGCCGCCGGTCTCGAGGGTATCGAGAAGGAGATGACGTGTCCGCAAAAATCTGACTCGGGTGCGGCTCTTGTACCGCAGAGCCTAGGCTCGGCTTTGGACAGTCTAAAATCGGACGGTCTCTTTCGGGAAGCGGTTTCGTCTGTCCTCCTGCGGGCGTTCATCAATGTCAAGGATGACTACGAGGTCGCCAAGTTCAACGCACTGGAAGACGACGCCGACAAGGCCGAAAAGTTTATCAAGTTGGAGAACGAATATTTCCTCCTAAGGCTGTAAGTGTGGCAATGTGACATGATTCTACGATACAAACGCCTGATACGATATAATTTTTTTCAATGCAAACAAATGTGCTTTTTATTATTATTATTTTTTTTTTTTTTTTTTTTTTTAATTTTTTTTTTTTTTTTTTTTTTTTTATTTTTTTTTTTTTTTTAAATTGTAGCTGATTTTTATATATTTAAATTTATTTTCTCATCCTATAACACCTTGATTCACTTTAAATCTTTTTGAGACGAATAGCTATTATGTTGAAAGTTGGGTGCCATTTATTTTTAAATTTATATTTTCTAGAGAGAAATAGTAAACTCTTTTGAAAGCAAACTGGTAGGAACTTTAGGAAATTATAAGTAGAATTATTCGTCCAACACAATAAATTTCTATTCTTTTTTCTGTTTATTGTCATTCATTATATATATATATATATATATATAAAGATAGAGAGGGAGAGAGAGAGAGAGAGATAGAGATAGAGATAGAAAGAGAGAGAGCGGGATATTCAAATTTTATGTAAAATAAAAGCGATACACAACCACCACATCTATAAACCCTCCACGCCACCGCCAATCTGATTATTTTACGGGAGTTTTAAATTACGCCCACCTATGTCATATATTTACTTTTTTCAAACCTGGACATGAGATTTAATACTATTTTATTTATGATATTATTTAAGTATGCCCCCCCACCCCCCCCCTCCCCATTTCTATTTGTTAAATTAAATCGTGAAATATAAGATTTAGAATATCATTGTTTCTATGTGAATAATCTATCGTTCTACTATGTGAATAATCTATTGTTCTACTATGTGAATAATCTATCGTTCTGCTATGTGAATAATCTATTGTTATACTATGTGAATAATCTATTGTTCTACTATGTGAATAATCTATCGTTCTGCTATGTGAATAATCTATCGTTCTACTGTGTGAATAATCTATTGTTCTACTATGTGAATAATCTATTGTTCTACTATGTGAATAATCTATTGTTCTACTATGTGAATAATCTATCGTTCTGCCATGTTAATACGATCCAATAATTTTGGAGTGACACAAAATTACAAGCTTTAAAAATGCTTTTAAAGGTGGCCGTCAAACAATCATGGCCATAACAGCCAATGTTAAAATTTGAATGTTATCAATGTATATTCATGTGACGGCATGAACCTTTTTTGTAACCATGTTTCGCTTCACATAGATTTTTAAATTCATTAATTTTGAAATGGGTCATTTAAAAATAGGAACAGATGCAATGGAACGCATCTAATCAAATTGTTGAAAATTTAAAATAAAAAATTAAACGCATATTATTTATTAAAAGCAAAAAAGACAACTTGGTCTTGTAAAGTATTTGTTCGGCCCATCTTTCAAATCTCGTCTGTGCACACGCATGTGGTAGGGACATTCCCGCCAACTAAGTGTCCTTCATGAACATGAGAAAAACTTGCTCCAGGCTCGTTTCCTGGACGCTGTAGAACTGGAAATTGTATTTCTGTTTGGCATGCTCCAATTGTGTAAACAGAAGAGAGAGCGGCACCGTTTCAGGGACCTGGAGGTGGACGTAGGCCTCTTGTTTGGCGAATACCTTGAGAAAGAGGGTTAAAATTTAGAATGTGCACGTTGTACTTAGCAAGCAGCATAGAAACTCATATTATCATTGTGATTTTGTTATACAAGTAATTAGTTATGTAGAAATTTTGTTTAATCTGTTACTGTATATTTGAAAAACAAAAACCAAACCACTGTCCTTCGACCTCTGCACGTTTATCACGCCCAGAAGACAAAGTTTCAAAAACCTTTAATTTGTTTCCCCACCCCCAATCCCATGCAATGAAGTTTAACAATTTTACTCTCAATTCAGAAAATGTTTCAACTGGAAAATCGTGAATAATGAACTTCCAATAAAATTTAATTTACAAAAATCGCTAAAATAACTTTTGTTTTATGATATAAATTGATGATTAGTCCATTATGTACATACATAGAGAGAGAGAGGGAGAGAGAGATAGATATAGATAGGTGTGGAGATGGATAGATAGACATAGATATACAGTGGCATAGCTAGAGGGTGATACCATCCCAAGAGATGACACCAAATGGAAAAAAATTTAGAGAGCAAACACTGCTTGTTCTAATCGAATTTCGTAAAATGAAAACCAAACACACGTGAATATTTTTCCTCATGTGTAACCAATCCAAAGGCGTACTTTATTAAAAGTTCATGTTTGATGCGTCAGAAACATATTTTTGACCAATAGTTAACCGCACCGGGGGACAACAAACATAGCTACACCACTGTATAGATATTTAGATAAATAGATATATAAATATATAGATACATACATACATAGGTACATAGATATATAGATATACATAGATATAGATAAAGAGTTATGTTCCCAGTATGGGAAGTTTCTTTCGTCTTCATCGCGTGTAGGCCACCTGTGTTTTCGGAAAAGACTGGAGTATAAAGGCCTGCGCTTCATGTAGAGGTAAAGTCTTGCCGTGTTCGTCTATGTTAGCACGCATGACGACCGTGTAGCCTTGCCCGTACTTGTTCTTCAGATGCTGGGGACTGCCCAGGCACAGTATCGTACCTTTGACCATAATGGCTATTCTAGTGCACAATGCCTCACATTCTTCCATGCTGAAAATGAAATTTCAAATTTATCGAATTTAGTTCCGTTGAGTAATGGTTAGACTTTATACAATTCAATAACATTTTATAGTTAAATACTACCACTAAAATATGAAGACACACACATCTACAGCGTACTATGTTATAGCAAATAGAATCAGTAAAAGAAAAAAACAACAACTCGAATACATTATCTTTTGCTTAAATAAAGAACATCCGGAACGACAGACCCATCTGTGAGAGGACGTTTCAAGAACAAGAAAAATATTACAGATCAACATTTTTTTTAATGAAAAAGGGAACAAGACACATACAAAAACCGGGTTCGAATCTCTTGATTCACCTGTGAGAGGTCAGCACCATCGTCCGTCCTGTCGACCTTATCATTTGCAGGACTGTCCATAGCGTTCTCCTAGCCACTGGGTCCATCCCTGCCGTGGGCTCGTCCAGCATCAAGAACAGCGGGTCGCCGATGATGGCTATACCAACGGACAGTTTCCGTTTATTTCCTCCACTGCAATGTTGAAGAGAAGAAGGAAACAAACGTTAATAAAGGAACATAAAACAATTCATGTCACTGGATCGGTAAAACTGAGATATCTTCCCAGCAGTCCTACTCTTCACATGTGAGATGAGATGTTCAGGGTGAGCAGCTGGGGAATCCGAAACTGTAAGCGAACAAAAGTCAAGCGGTTGGTGCCAGAACTATCAGCCCGTACAGATCCAAATAAGTGACCAACCAAATTTCGGCTTCGGTCTCGGCGCCGAAAGTGACCATTTTATCACTTTCGGCCTAATATCGGTTTCAACCGAAACCAAAAAGTTAAATTTCGGTTTATTTTCGGCTTCAGGTCGAAACTGAAATGTTAATTTTCGGTTTAATTTTGGTTTCGGGCGAAAGTGATTGTGATTTTACCTGTATGTAAACGCCAGCTTTTCTTCGTGAGGATGAAGGGTAACAAATTCAATGATGGCGTCCGTGACTTCACGGATTTTGATTTCCGGCACGCCCCTCAGACGAGCATACAAGTTTAACGTCTCTCTCCCAGTCAGCCTATCGTGGAGGGCGTCGAACTGTGGACAGTATCCCATCATGGTCTGGATCTGTGGATGGTGATGTAAGAAATGAAATCGTCTGCTTCTAGTGAGGAGTCATTCGGTACTTGCTGGCCTTATTGATCATTGAATGGTTGTTTGATTAAAAATTATTTTTTTTTTTTGGAAGGCCAGCTTCGAAAATTAGTTTTAAACAAAATCAATAATGAAATAAATCATTTTCATGGTTCAAAACTCATCTTTTACTAACCCGAATACAGCCCCGCAATGGCAGTCACCAAGCCCAGGTGCAAAAGGAGGAGGGGTGGTCGTGAGGCCAGTAACCTTGACCGTAAAAACAAACTGCTAGAAAAACTTCCACAAAGAATTTTAAAAAATCTGTCCTGATAAAACGGGGGGCTCCTCATCGCCAAGAAAAGTTATGAAGACTTCCGGCCAAAGCCAGATTGTGCTGGAAGCCTCAAATACGAGGAGCTTCTTTTTGAAGGCACTAAGCATAGGCTCGTGGAATTTTATAACAAAGAACAAAGCATGAAAATCAGCAAAGTGGCGGATTAAATGAAAACATACACAAACTCACACCGCTGGCATCTATGAAATAAGCTGGACACAAGCTAAACACAAGCTGGAGACAAGCTGGACACAAGCTGGACAGTTAACATTGCCCTCGCGGGAAACACTAATATTCTTAGGGGACGAGGAGGAAAATGCTCCACACATGGTGAAAGAAGTCACTTTCGTCAGCACATGGATGGCACAAGAAGCATACATGGGATAAGAAGCCCATGGTCAAAGAATTACTACAGCGAATTTCTGAACAAAGAAGAAGAAAATAAATATGAATGTGATACAGAGCTGAGCACCCAACATCAACAGTAAGGAAGACGAAAAAGAAGCTTTCTACAATTGACAACAAGAATTGCTGGAAAAAAGTTCCAGGTACAGATCTAAATATCTCCATGGGAGATCTAAATGCAGAGATGTTGAAAGAAACATTACTTCAGAAGAAATTATTTTATGCCATGAGCAAGAAAAAAAGAAAGGTAAAAGACGGTATTTAAGGCCCACGATCATTCTGGCTCCTATCCCAGCATAAGAGTATCCACAAGGTAACTTAGGTGTCCCTTAAAAACAAAACACAAAACCAATTCAATCATATATGAATTAGCAACAAAATTAAGAACGTCTCTACAAGAAGTACGAGCTAAAAGAGGAGATGATGTTACGTCTGATCACCATCTGGTTTAAGGAAAGACTCAAGCTAAAACTAAAGAAAAACTGGGAAGAGGCAGCTGCTAGAAGACTAAAATACAACATAGCACTTCTGGCAGACGAGCAGAAACGACAGAAATTCAGTGCAACCTTGAAAAATAAGTTCCAGGTACTGCAAGACGATAACCAGGTAGAACATGAATTGCAAAACTTAAAGATGTCTGTAAGTCCTCGTGCAACGAGGTTTTTGGGACCGGTGAAGCAAAAACACGAAATAAAAGACCTTTTCTGGTATAGACATTAGTGAAATTCCACTGCTTTCTGTTCCAGGGAAAAAAATATTTGACAGAATTATTTAGAATAGAATGAAATACCAGGTCGACACGCTGCTATGACATCTGCAGGCTGGCTTCCACTGAAAAAGTTCAAGCTCACATCAAATTGCAAAAATACGAATCATTGTAGAATGGCCCATCGAATGGAACTCCGCATTAAATGTTATACACTGCGAAAAGGCTTCTAATAACCTGGTCCCAGAAAACATTTGGTAACATTTTCAGCACTATTGGGGTACCAGGAAAACTAGTGCAGATCATTCAGAGTTCGTATAAAGAAATGACATGCAGGGTGGTAAACAAAGGTAGACTCAAAGATGTCTTTAAGTGGTAACACAATACATACAAGGATGTATATTCTCATTCTTTCTATGCATCCTTGCCCTTGAATAGATAATGAAGAAATATTTTGACAGAAAGAGGAATATGAAACAGTGGACGCCCTGAGAACTGGTGAATGACTAAGATATTTTAGATGAAAATGCACTTCTGTCCCGAACCTAGGAATAAACGTGGGAAAATGCTAAAGACCACCATTTCAGCACAGATCAGACAAAAATAAATAAAAGTAAGACAAAGATCATGAAGGTAAACTTAGGCGATCAAGAAATTATCTCTCTGCACTTGAAGAAGTGGAGGCCTTCAAATACTTAGGCAGCACCAGTGATGTAAATCCTGGATAAAAATTCAAAGAGCAATAGAATAATGCGGCTCGCATTGTTCTTCGCAAACGCAAATTCGAGCATTCTGAAACACTTCTTATCTCAAAGCCCTCATGACGCCTTATGTACCCACTAGAGGGCTCCTCTCATCCGATAGTGGCAAAATATCGATACCGTGTGTTCGCCTTGAGACTTACGGAAAGCGCACTTTTGCATTTGCCGGCCCAACGATTTGGAACGCCCTTCCAGTCGCTCTCAGAAACAGCCAAACACTGGAGTCCTTCAAAACCTATTTAAAAACACATCTATCTCGCAAACACCTTCTGGGGTGATGCTATCTACCATCTTTTTCAGTTAATGTATATTTGCCTGTGTTGCTTATGGTTGAAACGGGATGAAAGACTTTGACTTGGTATGCTCGTATGTAGTTTTATATTGTTGCGTCTGTTTTTTTTAAAATTTGGTAAATTTCAGATTGTTTTTTTTTTCTCTTTATAATGTGGTTGACTTTGTATCGGGCTTCGAGCTTCTGGGGATGAAGCGTGTTTTTCAAATAAACATTATTATTATTATTATTATTAGATCCGAAGTGGATGTCAGGGCTAGAATTGCAACGGTCACATCAGCATTTATGCTAATAAAGTAAATATGGGAGTCAACGAAGCTAACGCTACAAACCAAAGTCAGCTTTTTCAACACAAATATCAAAACAGTCTTGTTCTATGAAGCCGAAACGTGGAGAATAACAGCCATCATAATGCAGAAAGTATAGACCTTCATAAGCACTTGCCTTAGAAAGATAATGAACATCAAATGGCCAAACAGCATCACCAGCAAGCTTACTGGAAAGGACATACCAGAGCCTATTGCTAAAAACATTACAACTAAAAGATGGATGTGGATAGGGCACAATCTCTGCCAACCCCCAGATAACAGCACATGCCAATCCCGATCATGGAATCCACAGGGAAAAAGAAAGAGAGGACGCCCTAAGAATACATAGAGACGCGAGCTAGATGCAGACACACAAAGTATGGGATTCACCTGGAAACAACTGGAAGGTAAAGCACGGGGCCGAGATGAATGGAAAACTCTTTTAGACGACATATGCCCAAGACGGGGTAAAAAGCATATTAAGTAAGTAACCCGAAACCGGTTAGAAGCTAAATAATTTTTTCTTAAAATATTATTTTAAATATTTTTATTTAGCCTTGCTGCTACAAACGACAAAAAAATAATCCTCCTTGCGGACTCTCTTAAAATTATATGTAAAATTATGAAAAGTGGTAACTTTGTTTTGACACGTTCCTCTGGTTGCCATCTGGAGCAGGCTATCCCTACAATGACTACAATCATCTGAAGGATACCTACGACTTTTATCTTCGTCTTTATGCTCAGCCCCTTCACGTAGGCGTCTCCCGAGGACACCATGTGGTCTCCAGTCAACATCTTAAAGGTCGTGGTTTTCCCAGCTCCGTTCTGTCCCAAGAGCCCCAGGCATTCGTTCTGGGGCAGGGCCAGGCTAGAGTTGTGCACGGCGATGAAAGGCTTACATCTGACCCGGAATTTCTTGCCCAGGTTTTTCAGCACGATGTCGTCTGCAGGGGAGGAAATGAAAATTATAACATTGTTCTTTCTTAACAGCCAGACGATGCACATTTTAAATTTAGTGGATTAGATAATCACAACACAGATACTGTGTTTTCACATGATTCAGTCACCTACCCATCCCCCAACCCCCCTGGAAATCACATACTTGACACCAAGCATGTGATTTTACGCCACATAACTTCAGACCAAAGCCTTTTCATTGCGATTCCAATAACGGCAAATGAATTTTTTTTTTAATATTCAGCTTGCCATAGCGAGAGACGTGACTTAAATCTCTATTCACAAACAAGGCAACGTACTGTCCTCGCACAATTCTTCGATGGGAGTTTCATTGATTCTACTTCGTTCAGCCAGCACGTCATCATCCTCGACCAAAATTCCTTTTTCAGAATGGTCTACATTATTTACAGCAGGAATGCCTTCATCTTTGCAAAGGTTGTACCTAAGAAATAAGTTTGGTCAGTTAAAGAAATAATAATCATCAATCGCTGGGTTTTTTGGTAGGGCAGTAAGTAAATCATTTCACTAACGACTGTGATATCATTACAATGGCTCTGAAAGCATTACAATGGCTCTGAAAGCATTACAATGGCTCTGAAAGCATTACAATGGCTCTGAAAGCATTAAAATGGGTCTGAAAGCATTACAATGGCTCTGAAAGCATTACAATGGCTCTATAATTAAAGATTATGCTAAGACATAAACTTGATGGCTGAGATTTTTTTCTAATTGACCTCATCGAGGCTGTACTTACGTAACAATCAATTAAAGGAAGCAGCTGTTTTAGCCCTTCACTGTGTGTACAAGGAATAAAAAAATAGGCCAACAAAAAAGACATATTACCAAACCAGCCGGTCTAATCTGAATTCAGTGATGGCGACGCACACCCACCCACCAACAAAATGAATGATGAGTAGATTTAAAGTGGCATAGAGTTTGCCGGTCAGGTCTTCAAATTCTAGGTAGTCCATTATGGGTACTGACAAGGAAAAATTTAAAAAGTTATTAAGAGAAAAATTACGCATGCAAAAAGGTCATCATTTATATCGACAGAGCAGAGAACATCAAGGGTCGCTATCGAAAATTGTTGCAGAGACAACCCAGTTGATCTCCCTTTGTGTATATTAAGTTAAATGAAAAATTTCCGAAAAATATCTACTGCAGAAACATACAATTTTTTAAATTTTTTGGGGGGTTGGGATATTGTCGTTGTCTACTTCAAAATAAACCTTTGATGATCTATTTTATGGTTGCAATATTTAATACGTGTTAATACTTTAAGACTTTAGGTCAGGGGTTGCAAAATCGACTTTGCCAGATTTATCGCAAGTAACGTATTTTTTATACTTTCAATTGATAACGAAGTCCATTTCGTTGAAAGTTTAGCCAGAGCAAGAATGAAGTGATGTCACTTAAGTTAAGTTGATTTTTTTTTTCTATTTCTTTACCTAAAATTTTATTGTGGTCCTTAAGAGTAGATATTAATTCCATACAGCATTAAGTGGGCGTTGACCAATGAATTAACATGCGGCCCGCAAAAGGGTTACTCGCTATCAAAGTGGCCCATGAAGCCTTTTGATCGACCGACCCTTTTTGGGTGGGCCGCCTCTGCTTTAGAGAGTAGGGGGAAAATAATATTTTACCGACTTCTTTGTAGTAATGTGTCGCTGCGAGGACGTAGTTTATGAGCATTTTCGTTAGAACATAATTTGGTGATATGACTGCGATAATCCAATGCATCAAGTCGACGAATCTGTTCACGTCTTCTTCCATTCTGTAGACGGTCAAGATGAAGGCCGACATCACGCCTGAGGATGAGATGAGAGCATGGTGGGCTTCGTCGTTGGCCTGAATTGGTGCTCTTGGGAAAATCTAAACAGGTACACAATTAGCAGCCTGCGGCCGTGAAAACAAAAAAAAAAAAAAAAAAAAAAAAAAAAAAAAAGAACAAAGAAAAATACAAATAAAACGTTACATGTTAGTCACACGAGTGCATCCTATTATTTTCATTCTCCTTTTGGGGTCCATATTAAGCTCTATAATGACTCCTGCAAGCATATTACAGAGTGCCGCTTTTTGACGCCCCAGGCACGTTCACTACAGGCGAAACGTGAATTCGTGACCCCCCCCCGGCAAGCACATTACATGCGTGCCACGCACTTGTGGCCCCCAGCACACACACTAGAGGCGTGCCGCACCTTGGTGGTCCCAGCAATCATAGAAACACAAGGTTGAGATTACGCCATTGGCCGTCAAATGCATCACACAAAGCAACATATTTACCTACGAAGACGTTAAAACACAGGATGGAGATCACGCCGTTGGCCGGGTTGCTGAAGATGATCTGAATGGCGTACAGGTAAGGGAACATCGCCATGGCAAAGGACATCAGGATGAGTAAAGTGACCGCCCATCGGCCCCTCTCCAGGTAGAGGGCGGGAGAGATTGTAAACCCACACATGATTGTGGCGATGATGATGACGAAAAGCAGCAAGTCGAATATATAGGTGCCCAGCCAGTAGGCCAGTGGACTGACCCCACTCAGAGCCTGGAGGTGTTTTGCCCCCATCTGAGATAGAAGCGGTATAGGATATGGTAATTGAAAAAAATATATATCATGATTATTCTTTTTTAAAGGAATTGATTTATTTTCAAAATGTTATTGCCCACCCTTACCGACCTTCTCCATGAGAAAGTTACAATGAAAACACTCTGTCGACAATGGGTGTTATCCATACGGTTATGACCCGTGAAGTAATTGATGAGTTTTGACGCTCAGGGAGGTCTTTGAATTCCCCGCAGAGCATTCAAGACAACCACGAAACATGCACAATACAACTGAAACTTAAGCCCTACTCTAGAATATAAATGTTCTAAAAATGATTTTTTTTCGAAAAAAGGATGATGAGCTGGGAAAAAGTTTCAGGCAAAGGTTCCGGAAAATGTTTTAATTGCATTGGGAAAAAAAGTCACAGGGAAAAGTCACAATATATATAATATTATGTTTTATAAAACGATTATGTGTTTATATATATTTGGAACTCTTATATCATTCAGCCCGACCCCCCTACCTTAAAGAAAAATAATTCGTTTTTGTGAGATTATAGATATTTTTAATTCTTTGCAGCTATGTGTGTGTGGGGGAGGGGGGACACATTGTTAAATTTTGACAAAATTGGGGAACAAATAAATTTGTAGACCTATTGGTCCAACGACGCGCTGACCATTTTGAAGCCATTGAAGCTTGATCTGAATAGTGTTATCACTTAACCAGTACCGCTTTGTAATGCGCCTTTATTCTATTTTAATTCCTTTAATAGGTAAGACGTATTGGAGAGATCAGAGGTGGATTCTTTTTAAATCTAATTAAGCATAGGTACTCACAAGCAGCTTTTACTACGGGTGGAGGATCACGTGGGCAGGATGGACAATAAGAATACCCATTTTTTTTTCTCCCTAGCCTTTATATCTGCAATTTTTTTTTTAATTATGCTTTCTATTTCTCCTCCACGGCACAACCAAGGATTTTTTATTTATTTTTTTAGAAGATCGTTGATGTCGCCCTCAACACATGGCACATGGTGACCCGGACAACTGCCCGAATAGCCGGTAACTGGAACCGGCTATGTCTTCTTAGGCAAGTCTAAATGATTGACTTCTGCATGAAAATAACTCTTAGCGCAACCGTTTCAAAACAACAGCTGGAAATAATTTTAAATTAAAAGAGAAAACCTAAAAATAAAACGTTTCGTGCAGTCCTTCGTGTGGATATTTGTTGGCATTTATGGCATTATACGAGGTTTATCATTTACTGAGAAACGTTTATGTACATGGGTAAACTTCTGGAGAATACACGTTTCATATTACCTTAATTTTACTCCCTCAAAAATCTTCTTTTTTTTTCACTGCATACACAAATAAGTAAAAAAAATATAAATCATGGTAGCTTAATCTACACACATAATCGCCATTCAAAACACGGACCCATTTCAAAAAGCATAAACATCCGCTTCCACGAAAAAGAGGAAAAACAGATTTTTGAGGGTTGGGGGTGGGATGAGGGGCTGAAAATTCGAAAGAATGTGCTGTCCATAGAAACAATCAATGTGCCATGTTTCATATCAATAGTATGAAGGGAAGTGGATCACCAAGCCTTCCGAGGATTGTGCCACAAACACACGGACGCTCGAACAAAAGTGAAGATAATGTAAGGACGTAGAAAAAAAGAACAATTTTTTTTTGTTGCCAACTCGACTCTTTGGGAGAGAAGGGGTTGATCCGTTGTTGTTTTTTTATCTTAAATGATGCTTTCATCTCCTTGTCGAAATCAAAGTTTTTTGTTTTTTTTAAATGCATCTTAATATATACGCCGACGCAAAAAAAATCTCAACTCGCAGCACCCAAGAATTTGCAAGGGGCAAAACTCAAAAGATGAAACTTCTGGGACAGGCCTACCGCACGCTCCGTAATGAGACCATTGATGTACATCACGGGCACCAGAGCCATGGCGAATCCCAAGCAAAACAAAGTACCCAGCTGTAAGGAGAAAATCCTCTTGTCACTTTCCGGCAGCTGATGGCAAACGCCCAGTTGAATGGAGTAGTCGTCACCAAGCACGGACTTCACGTAGGCGTTGGACAATAACTGCGTCTACCGAGAACATACAAGTGCACGCAAAGATATTAGACTGTTTGGCGGTAATCATTCATGAAAAATGACCATACACGATATAACATTTAAAAAAAAAAAAAAAAACAGTGAACCTGCAGAAAACGAAAGTAAAATAGTAGTAGCGTCTACCGAGAACATACAAGTGCACGCAAAGATATTAGACTGTTTGGCGGTAATCAGTCATGAAAAATGACCATACACGATATAACATTTAAAAAAAAAAAAAAAAAACAGTGAACCTGCAGAAAACGAAAGTAAAATAGTAGTAAAATATAATCTCCCCCAAGGTGGCTAAACTATAATTACCTGGAATGTATGGGAAGAGGGCGTGGGTGGATGGGGGACTGATATCCAACCATGACGTCATATTCGTTTGTGGTGTGTGATGTGTGTGTGGGGGGGGGGGGGTTTGGGGGGGGGCATTTTATGTCCGAAAAAAAAAAATATTTCATTGTAATTATTTTTTCCCGTGCATTCTTTATTGATTTTGGTTTTCTCGAGTTAGGTACTGAAACGTTAAGACCCATCCCCCAACGTCCCGAACTCTAGCTCCTCAAATGTATCCTATATCTTTCATGTACATGTAGATTATACCAAGGAAGTATCAACTCACAGAAATCCCTTTTGCGTGAACTGCCGTGCCTTGGTACAGGAAGGTTAGTTTGGTTTCCTCTATGACGGCACCAACAATCATCTTGTCCTCGTACTTCTCCTTGTCTTCCGATTCCCCCCACTTCAGCAAGAACTTGACGACGTCGCTCTGTTCACGAATAAAGACGATGCATTAACGACAATGCCCGATTCCACTCGGACATTACATGATAACATGTTTAATTCAAACAATAATTTGTCATAATTTTTAACGGATATTTTAAAAATTAATCGAAAAAAAAAAGAAGATGATTTTTGCTATGCAGCGCTATTTGGATTTGAAAATTTGATCTGTTTTAAAATCTGACTCGTTGAGTGAACGATACGTAATAAAAGGCTGAATATGGGTGAAAACTTAAAACGATAACACAGCTACTGATACTAACAATATTCAAAATAAATATACTCTTTTATGTAGCCATTTCAATTGTTTCTATAGTATAGTAGTTACTATCCTAATGTCTCATTTTTGTTGTAGTTAGTTTACATGTTTTTAATAATTGTAAAGCGCTTAGAGCTTTAAGGTAAGCGCTATATAAAAATGCCTAAATAAATAAATAAATAAATATAGAAATACAAATTCAAATACACAGAAATGAAAAAAAAAACTATGTAAACTTAATTCACAGCAAGGGAAAAGGTGAATTCATAATTTACACACATACACATAAAGAGGGAAGTCCATTTTGGCAACTATTTAACTGCAGTAAATGTCCAGGAAATATAGCGAAAAATCCCTACCGTCTAGAAAGCTTATAATACAAGGATTAAATGAAAACCACCCTGTTACGCACAGCCTTCTAGTGTGAGAAATTTATCTCTTATTTAAAGTTATTGGCTCATTATAAACAGTGCCTAACAAAGAACGATACCATGAGCAGTTAAAAAAAAAAACATTGGAACTAAAGATATAAAGATAGAGTTCAGGATTGCAAACGAAGACAGGACAAGTACGAGATGTATTTTTAAGTGTCCTGTTTTATTTTGAAACCTAGACATATCTTGTCCCACTATTTGTTATTTTAAACAATGTTTATGAAGTCCCTCGTGAATTCACCTTTCGCACACACAAAAATTTGTTTGCAAACAAAAAAAAGGGGGGGGGGGTAAAATTGCAGTTTCCAAATTTGGCCAGAGCCATAATTCATTAATCACTGAATTTTTTTCCCATTGCTATCCTTAATTTACCTCTGGAATTTTAGCCAGGGCCATAGTTTATTTACCTCTGAAGTTTTGGCCAGGGCCGTAGTCAATTTATCTCCGAGATTTTTCCCAGAGCAATAGTGTATTCACCTCTGACTATTCGGCAGTGAGACTTAGTTCATTTATCTCTGAGATTTCGCCCAGGGCCACAGGGCCACAGTCCCTTTACCTCTGAGATTTTCCACAGGTCAGTATTTCCTTTACCTCTGAGATTTTGCCGAGGACCACAGGGCCACAGTCCTTTACCTCTGAGATTTTTCACAGGGCAGTATTTCGTTTACCTCTGAGATTTTGCCGAGGGCCACAGGGCCACAGTCCTTTACCTCTGAGATTTTGTCCGAGCCCACAAAAGAAACTCCAGGGGAAGACGAGAACTGCGCCACGTAGAGATTGACCAGTGTTTTGTCACTTGATGAGTTTTGGAACAGGGGCACGACCAGGTCCTTGAATCGCTCCAGCGTGAAAAACATGGGCGGCGACTCCTTGTTTTTGTCCGACATCATGTCAAACTTGATCCCCAGCATCGTGAAGCACACAGGTAGCACCAGGAGGACCAGAGCTGACGCCAGACTCCGTCTGAAGAGAATACGTCTCTTGCAAAGGATGGCCCTCATCTGCTGCAGGAATAGGGCAATGCCCTTGTTTTTGTCGTAAAAATTCATCTCTTCGAATTTTTCTGTTGGAAAAGAGAGAAAGTTGAACGGTCAGAGTGCCCGAACTGTGTGATATAGCTGGTTGTTGCGCAAAGAGGGCCCAAAATGTTTGATATAGCTTATTGGTTGTGCAAAAAGTGTCCGAACTGCCTGATATAGCTTATTGGTTGTGTAAAGAGTGTCCTAACTGTCTGATATAACTGATTGTTTGTAAAGAATGTCCTAACTGCCTTGCCCAACTGATTGTTTATGTAAAGTGTGTCCAAAATGTCTGATACAGCTGATTTTTTTTGTAT